CCTGTGTAAGCCCCTGTAACCCAGGTTTTGCGCTGCAGGTTCTCTATCAATGTGCTCACCCCCCTACCCAGGGCATCTGTCTACTTGGTGCTGGCTCCACGTTGGGCCAGTGGATGAGGTCATGTTGATTGGGCAAATAAGTAGATGACGACTCAGCTAGGTGGGGGCTTCCCCACCCATTGCCCGCGTCACAAAAGCCACTCCGTGGCCATAGTTTGTTAAACTAACGAGTATTTTACACCCGAGGTAGATGACAAGGGAGACAGCGCACTCGGTGGATAATTAGAATCATCATCGTCCAATCGAATTTCTTGGACTGGCCTCTTGGATGCATACGGAGCAACTGGTGGACGCATCGGAGCAACTGGCGGACGCATCGGAGCGGCAGCACTAGTGTCCCTGACCGGTGCTTTCTTCGCAGCGGCAAGCGGCGGTTTCTTCTTTTTCAGTGCAGCCAATCGACGAGAGACACGAACGTAGTTTTTTCCAGGACCACAACTTGATTCAGGAAATCCAGCGAGTCTCATAATGTAGGCAAGAGCAGCTTTCCTCCCAGTATTGGGGTTGATGACTACCAAACCGGCAAGGTGAACAGCGTGATTTATATTGTCTTCTTCGGTGTTGGGATGAAAAGGGGGGCCTTCAGCTTGCTCCAAGCCTCTCAAAAGCCGATTTATTTGGCGTGTATTGGTCTCTGACAACGCTGACTCTTCCTCCATTCCCACAGCCATTAAGCAATCTGTCTTGCTGTAGACAATCTCAATCCAATCAGGGATGCCTCAGTGGACATCAACCGCCCTTTCGATCAAAGCATTGCTCATCGTGACGATGACAATCCAAGCAAGCAAATTGTCGACTTGATCCCAAGTTCATCCCATCTCCGGGCCATTCAAACGGACCAAATATCTTCGGAACCGAGGACACATGGAGCCAAATTTTCTTCGTTTCTTCATCTCCTTGGGTATCATTGGCTTGGCACATGGCTATCAATGCAGATGCTTCCTTCAAAAGCAGCACAATCGTCGACACACTTGTCATTGTGTCAATCGATTGGCATCAATCCTTTTGAATCGAACTGAAATTTGACTTGGCTTGCCATGTTAAATTGCTTTGAATACGCGTGTTAAATCTGTCAATCATGCTATGTTAAATTACAATTGGGAAAAGACGTTTTAACTTACGGTTCTTAGGGAGACAGTGTTAAAGCCCGTGCCAATAGGTGTTAAATACCAAGTCAAATACGTTAAAAAAGTGCTTCGCTAAAAGGATTTTTAACACTTGATGCTTTAACGCTCCAAAAGCGGGAGTGAAAAAAGCTTTAACATCGCGTTAAAAGTTAAAAGGTGTTAAACGTGTACTGCACCAGTAGCTGTTTCGGTGCTGCATGGCTGTTGGGGCAAAGAATGACAAACGGTGTTGGAACGCTCTCACGACTTCCTCAATTTCTGTTTCATTTACAGCATTTCGTTGTTTAGCAAAGAACGGCAACAAGCAAGTGAGATGTCCAAGTAGTCTGCTTGTGGTGCTCTGATGTGTCATTGATACCCACCATCCCCTTTCCTTACCCCTCCTACCCCCCTCAAACTTCTTTACCAACCCCAACTCTCTCCAACAAAGAGCTCGTGATTTGTGGTGAATCATGGCTCCGACCTCAGTGGACAAATCCTTAGATAGCTAACAGGCGTCGCACCCTCTCAGGAGGCCAGTGTGGCCGGTGAGCAGACTTCACTGTGGGAAATACCTGGGCCTCGGCTCGTGGGTCGTCCTCAAACACATCTCGTCTGAATCCGTTATTAGATGTTCAGTTTTTTTTTTTAATACCCACAATGGTGGCTTCGCAAGCCCTGGGCTTCTTTTCCCAGTCCGGAGAATCAGATTTAATAGCAGAGGCTTGTGGCTGGTGGTTTCCATCTCCTGCAGTCTTGTCACTCTCCGAAGAATCACTCAGCACTCCTATAGCGTCCAATTGATCTACTCCCAACGTCGTGGGTATTGTGGGCATCTTGACCACAGTCTGATGCTGGTTGTCACCCTCGACAAAGTTCCAACGGGATCAGGGGTATACAAATCTGGTGCAGATCTTGCAGGCATCTGAATTACAAATGGAGAAAGTAGAGGGGAAGTCGAGAGGGAGGAAGGGGGGCAATATTAGCGGAAGAGTGCAAGTGCACCATCGGCATCCCAGATAACGGCGGTAGCTCCGTGTGCCAGCAGGGACACGAGAGCCATGCATGCAGAGGTGGTGGGCCCGTAGGATTGCTAGACTGAGCCGAGCATTAACGTAGCCGCACACCACTGAGTATTTCAGTCTTCTTGGCACTGACAGCAGCAAGTCTTTGCACACCGCACAACACTGCAGCTCGTGGAAGGTCGTCGTGGAAATAATGTTCGTCCACGCCGACAGCTCTGGACAGCTTTGGAACTGAGGTAGATGTGGTAAACATATTTTTAGACAAACAAATTCTTTTTATTTAATTAAGCCCAGCTTTACCGCAACTACCCCTCTAGCCAGATCTGTATGCAGGCTTATTGACAAAGTGCAACCTGCCTCCAGACCGCAGCTATGGAGGCTGAAGGCGCACCCAATCCACATTCATTTTCCATTTATCAACTCTCAACTGCGTCAAGCAGGTGCACGGCGCACCAATTCATAATCACATTTTCTTCATCTCTCACTCGATCGCAGAGAGCTAGCTAGCTAGCTAGTAGCGATAGTTTCTTGATTTACATGTGCCAGGAACTTTCTTGGTTTACATGTTCCAACACCCCATCTGATACTTTTGGCGCTTCCCTTGAGATCGGCATCAGCTCTAAAGTAGGTTGCGGTAGCAACAGTCTGAGAACAGAGCAGTGGTACGGTGCACATCGTGATACGCACACTCGCTTCTGACAGCACACTCGTCGACCGAAGGGTGTCTCGCCGAACTAGAAGACAATTGGCTTCCATCCCAGTGCACGGCGGTAGGCGGAAACTTGTTGTGCCAGCTCCCCAAACTTCTTGCTGCGCAAATGAATTTTCCACGAAAGCAGGAGGTGGGAACTGTAAATACCGATGGTCTATTTTGCTTCGATGACGACGAGTATGTTGATAGTGGCAATCCCAAGGAGATGGCAAGAAGGGCAATCTTGTCATCGACCTCTGCTGGACATTCGTTGTTGGACACTCTCACACCAAAAGACATTGAAAAGCTTGCACAGCTTCTCAAACCTGCCATCATTCGTCCTGATGAAGATGGCGAGATGTTTGTGGAAGCCGGGGACCTAGTTAAAGAATCCGCACTTCCTAGACAGGATTGGGAGACTTGCGGCAATGAAGATGAGAGGAGTCGCACAGAATGGCATGCCCCCTTTGGACAGAGCACTTACTCTCTCATCTATTTGTGTAGCATTGACAGCCCAGCCTTTTGGTATGCAGCATTTGTGTACTTTCTCCAAGTAAGTGAGATCCAAGAAGAAATGCTTACTGAAAGCCAAGGCGGTTCTAATGATTGTATCATCCTTCAATTACACAACTCCTGCATGCCTCTTCCTGCAAAAGATCACAACCATTTTGCTGACAATGATTGATGTAATAGATTGGGATGGGCTCAACTTGCCGCCTATGGTTGATCTGAGTGTGACAATTGCTCAAGGAGTTACCCTCTTTCAGGCCATCGCTTTCCAATCAGATCTCATTGAGGTCGTCATGAAGTGAGCGCTTACCCTTCGTTGTTGTCTGGTCATTGACAATCATCCAACCTCATCTGTTGATTGTTGATGCTGTTGTGTACATCTGGCTCCAGGTTCAAAGATGGCTTTCATCCAGAGGCTCTGGAAAAGCACCCCGGAGCATCCTATGCAACTTGGCTCGTTTCTTGCATTGCTCAGCTCATTGCTGGGCTCCTCCTCCTTGTGACAATCTTCATTTTGATCCTTCAAGTTGACAGTGTGTTGGACATTATGCTCAACTTTGCTGCTCTTGAGTTCATGGCGGACATTGATGATGTGGCGTTCTCCTTGGCCAAGTCTGGTTTTCTTGGGGGCAGTATCCAAAGGGCTGCAACTGGAGTCACGAACTTCAAAGTTCGCAAGAGGCCTTCATCAGATCAAGGATTTCGGCAACGTTCTTGGAAGTCTGGAGTTTTCCTTTTGATCATTGTCGTTTTGGTTTCTGCATGGGCGACTATTGTGGCCTTTAGAAGTTCAGGCCAATACTTGTGCAGCACCATCATGGTTAATATGGGAGATGACTTTGTTCCTTCCCTGGGCACATTCAATGGCTTGTATGATTTAGATCCATCTGCGCTCTCCGGGTTGGAGTGGCGGGCAGAATATGTGGAGAGGCGCTCGATCGAAATTGATACTCCTGGTCGGGGTATCTTTGGCTACTGTAGTGACATCAAAGCTTGGACATTTCGAGTGGAATCAAGTGGCAGCAATGAGAAGGGAGATCCATGCAACTGGATTTCCAGATCGGCTGAAACAGATACCTTTGATATCTCAGAGACAGCAACAATCCAGTGGTTTGTTCGGGATGACACACTTCGGGAAGTTGTACTTGAGCCATTCATCCTCTTCTGCTTTGACTGCTCCAATGCTGAGGAAGGAAGTGGTGACTGTGGTGGGAAAGGAATCTGCACTAATGCTGTCTGTGACTGTGAAGATGGCTGGTATGGTCTCCGTTGTGAATTTGTCAGTCCTTGCACTGGGATCACTGTTGATGCTCGAACAGAAAAGTTTGCCAGCACCAGGGATTGGGTAAGTGAATACCAATCTATTGAGCTGACTAGTGGGGCATTGGTGGAAGCATATCACAGGCCAGTCTATATCCATGAATACAGCACTGGTGATTATGATGTTGTCCTGTTCACTGGTGGTCGTTGGGCTTTGACATCATCCAAATTATTGCCACATGGTGGACGGATCCCAACCAGTGACCTCTCTGATGGCCAAGATGATGCTGGGAATGACATTGGAAATTTCTTCAAACATTCCTTCCATGGATACAATGGATACCAAGCCAACTATTCTGTAGCATTTCTCAGTGACTACATGCAAATTGGAACGCAGATGGACTCTAGCTCTCCTGTTGGCTTTTCCTGGCACCATGCCACAGCCAAAGAGAGAACAGCTGATAGCGAGAACCAGGGAATGGGCAAGTTGGTTGATACAGAGTTTCTGTGCCGTACTTGTGATGATGATTTGAACCCTTGCCTCTATGATGGGAGGTGCAATGATGGTCATTGTGAATGCTATCTTGACTCCTTTGGGAGTCTGTGTGAAGTCCCACCAGGTATGTGTCCTTCTTTCGCTTAGAATTTTCTTCCAAGGAAGGTTTTGCTGAACTACATTGTTTTCCATAAACCTATCACAGTTGGGAATGGTCACTGTGACCCCTTTTTTAATGCTCCTGAGTTTAAGATGGATGGGGGAGATTGCTGTGAGTCAACATGTGAAAGTACCCCAAGGTATGCCTGTGGGGCAGAGGAACATGGTTATGTCAGCACAGGATACTACTACTGCAAAGAGCCAAAGGATGAGTGGGACAACTATGTTTTGAATAGTGATGTTGGCACCTGGTCTGGATATGCCTTGGATCTTTCCATGAAGTCATTGGCTGTTTCAGAGCTTTTGGAGGACCGTGTACTAATTTATGACAAGTTTGAATCGTCATGGATTCTCAGGGAGACTATCACAGGGACTACAAAGTCAAATTTTGGGTTGCATGTGGCCCTCTCTGCTGGTCCCTTCAATGCAGTTACCAACCCAAGCTTCAAGGCTCCTCTTATAGTTGTCATTGCAGATTCAAATTCTCTTCAAATCTACAGGTGCAACTCAGATGGTTGTACCCCTACGCAAAAGTTCCCAAAGGTTCAGAGCTTTGCGTTATCTGATGATGGCACTGTCCTGGCAATGGCTTTTCTCCAAAGACACCAGCCACCCAATTTCATACAAGTTTATGAGTCTGATCAAGGTCTCTTCCAGTTCCGGTCAAATGTCACTGTCACAAGAAACAACACCAAGACATTCCTGTACTCAATGTCCTTGAGTGGTGATGGTAGTCAACTGGCTGTGCAAGCTAAGCTCCAAGGGGCTGACCCCAAAACAAAGGCACGTGTGGTGACTGATGAGCACATTGCTGTCATGCGGTGGAGTGAAAATTCTCAGGTCTATGAATTGGAGACAGATTTTCCACTCAATTATGTTGTTTCCAGTCTGAGCTACCAGCTGTCACTGGCATGGAACCAAGATGGCACTGTCCTTGCCTATCTCTTTCCAAAGTGCCAAGGCTCTCAGCTGCACATTTATGTCCGCGACCAAGACACATGGGTACAACGAAGGGCTCCGGAGACAAACACTACTGATTGCATTGACAGCAGTCGGCCTGGTCGGAATAATGCCTTGGCACTCTCTGGCGACGGATCAATGATTGCATTCAGGGTGGGTAACAAGGTCAGAGTTTACAGATGGGAAGCTGAATTCAAATTTTGGAATTCTTTGGGAGACGAGTTCCCATTCATACACTACCCAATTGCCATGAGTGTTGATGGCAGTGAACTTGCAATTGGGTCCCCTGAAGAAGACATTGGAGGAGTCACTGCTATCTACTCTCTACCAGGAAGGAAAGAGTGCCCCAGTGGTATGACCTTATTGCGGCTTTCTCTCACCCTTGAACCCTTCAATGCTGATAAGGTGTCTTGGAGCATAATGAACAACAGCACAGGAGAAGTCTTGTTTGAGCAAGGACCGTATCCACCTGATTATGGCAAGGCGACAATTGTGGAGGAGACATGTGTCCCTGCTGATTCTTGCTACATTTTCTCAATCTACAACAGGGAAGGGAAGGGCATCCGTGTTCCTGGTCAGTATGTACTCTTCTTGGATGGAGAAAAAGTTGGGCAGGGGACCTTTGAAGGGCTTTTCGGCACAATCAACTTTGGAAACTGTGCTACATGTCCTGTTGGTACTAAGCTATTCCGGATGGCAATGTTGTCTTGTGTGCCAGTGCATTGGAAACTGTGGGGTGCATTTGACGAGGTTGCCACGAGCAAAGAAAAGATTTTGTATCATCCGCCATTCAATGATGATATCTTCGAGATTGACCCATCCTGTAATGATGGCGGGTGGTCTGAGGACTGCACAGATTGGGCCTATTATGAATCTTGTCTAGATCCTACAGAGTGTTTTGCTGTCCAATCGGACTCCAACGTCCAAGCTTACCTTGAAGTCGATGATTTTGGAGCTGTGAGAAAGTTGCCATCTCCATCCTCTGTGTGCACTAGAGTTGGTACAGTTTTTGGGAATCAAGATGTCTGCCACAACAGAGTTTGGCGGGAACTGCATTCTGTTTGACATGATCCTCATCAAGCAAACAAACGACTTTATTTTAGCGCTGGGCTGTCTAACAAATAAGAATCGACATGAAAACCACTACCGGTAGCTAGTTGCAAGCTTCGGGGATCTCTACTCTCATGGTCGGTTCCTCACTTTGTCTGCATATGATCGTGCACGTCGAGATACGATAGGCCTGGCAGAGATTGAATTAGCACTTCCGTCCATGCTACAACTCAAACTGGTTGAGTTTGGCGGCATCCCAATCGCGTGCACTGCAGACCTCGACAAGATGTCCAAACTGCGACATGCGTGCTGTAACTGGATACGATTTTCTACGTGTAGCCATGAGTTGACCTGTGAGCGCCCTACCTCCCACCGCTCGGAACCATGCTCCCGCAGCTTGCTCTCTGCCACCGCCAGTAGTGGAGAGCAACTTGCACTCAAGCAATAGAAACGCGGGTTTAGAGTAGGAGGATTATCTATGGAAGCCAGCGAGGGCCAGGCTTAATAAAGCTCTCGTGAACCGAGGTCTGGATAACTCTGTCGGAGAAAGCAAAACGGTATTTATTCCTATGCCAGTGCTGATAAACAGCACCCCTCCCTCCGCATTGCTCCGAAGGAAGAGCTTGTTGGATGAAGTGGCAGTGCTGCCCGTACCGTGTCCCTCGTCTCGGCCCGAAATCCGTCTATACTGTTTTCTCGAATGGCGGATGCTTACGTTGCCGATGGAGCTGGCGCTTTCTTCGGAACCATTAGTAGCTACAGCTAGGCAGCAATTCACCAGCATCCATGTTTCAGTTGCCACTGGCTAGCTGGCTGAAAGTGTTTCGTAACGAATCCCATTTTATTAATGTACTGGCCACGGTTCCATACTACACTTTCTTTTTGAATAGGACATGCCATCATTCGATGGCATCCATCAAGTGTACGTACAATTTGTGGCATAGGGTGCAATGCAATAAGCAACCCTCCTATTGATCAAAGAATACAGCTTCCATGCATCGACTACTCTCACCTACCCGCTTCTTGGGGGGCCGTCAAACTCACTTCGGCGGGGAGGATTGCTTCGGCCAGGGTCGGCACTGCTCTGCTGTGGCGTCCACTGTCTATGAGGAGCATCAGACAAGTCCTCCCAACCCACGCCGGGGCCCGATGGTCCTCGAGGCAAGTCATTTTGTCTGAACTCGGGAATCTTGCCGTCTCGAGAAGCGGGCCGAGCTGCTGCCTGCGGGACGGAACCTCTTGGTGCGCGAGAGCTATCCCATCCACTTCCTTGTGGCGATGATGTACCTTGTGGCGACGGATCTCGTGGCGGTTCAGCGGCATTTTTTCTCCATGGATATCGGTCACGAGGATTCGCGGTTGCTGGCGGCATTACCGGTTTCCGTATTCCGGATGGATCCTGTCCAACAGTCGTGTTCCGCTGCTGAAACCGATCACGAGGACTGGACGGTGGCACGACAGGTCGTCGCATTTGATCCTGTCCAACAGTCGCGTTCCTCTGTTGAAACCGTTCACGAGGATTGGACGGTGGCATGACGGGTCGTCTCACTGGATCCTGTCCTACAGTCGCGTTCCTCTGCTGAAACCGTTCACGAGGGTTCGCAGTGGTCGGCGGCATGACGGGTCGTCGCTCGTTCGAATTCGATGGTGGCGGCCCTTGTCGTGGCTTCATCTCAGGGTTGCGAAAGGCCGGTTGTCCGCCAAAACCTTGCTGTTGCCTCGGTGGTGCGTCAATCCCTGGCGGCGGTGGTGGTGCAAACTTTTGCGACTGTTGTTGACTTCTTGGCGGGCCTCGAAACTCGGGTGGTGCTTGCTGTTGCCTTTGCGGTGCAAATTCCGATTGTGGTGATGGTTGCCTTGGTGGGGCATCAAACGCTGCGGATTGTCGGGGTTGATCCTGTTGCCTAGGCTGGGGAATAAACTCTGACTGTGGCGGTTGTCGCTTTGAGAAGGCATCCACGAACTCCGATGCTGGCTGCCTTGGTGGCGCACCGTCAAATCCAGGTGACTGTAGCGCTTGCTGTTGTGCGCCATCGAAGAACTCCGATTGCGGCTGCGGCTGCCTTGGTGGAGCATCCATAAACTCGGGTGATTGACCAAGTGGCTGTTGTTGCTGTTGCGGCATTGGATGCTGTTGCGTCATGGGCTCCTGTTGCGGCTGCTGCCCCATCAACTGCTGTTCGACACGCTGCTTTTCCATGAGTTTGAGTTTGAGCCGTTCAATTTCTTGTCGTTTCCAGGTAGTGCGTGCCTCCAATTCGGCCATTTCCGCTTTGAGCAAGGCATTCTCTTCTCGCTGCCGCCTCAAGTCATCTTTGGCCGTCTGCGTCACAATGTACTCCTTCAAGGACGTGCGGGTGGTATCCAAATTGTGATCCCACGTTGGTTTTTCTTCGGACAATTCTCCCTTGAGACGTTCAATTTCCTTTCGCTTCCACTCGGCCCGATCCTTGAGTTCTTCAATTTCCATTTTGAGAATGGCATTTTGATGGCGTGAAATCTTGAGATCGTTCTTGTTTTCTTCGAGTTCGAGTTCTTCTTCGAGTTCGGTGAGTGCCAACAAGTCATCGAGATCGTCTTGGGTAGGAGTGTAGGACGATGCCCTCGTCGTCGTCGCCATGGGATCCTGATACACTACTGGTTCCGGCTGGTACGGTTGCTGCATTGGATCCGATTGGAACTGAGCAGGCTGTTCCTGCTGGGCTGGCATTGGTCCGATATGAGACGCTTGCTGCTGCTGCTGAGTGGCTTGAACAGATGGCGGTTGCTGCGTTCCTTGCACCGGTGGCTGTTGCTGCATTGGTTCCGGTTGAAATTGTACTGGTTGTTGCGGCTGCTGCACTCCTTGTACGGGTTGCCGCACCTGCTGCACTGGTGGCTGCTGAACACCTTGTAGTGGTTGCTGCAGCTGCTGCTGCACAGGTGGTTGCAGAGCTCCTTGTAGCGGCTGCTGCACTGCTTGTAGCGGCTGCTGCTGTTGCTGCATTGGTGGCTGCCGAGGAGACTGCTGCTGAGACGCTTGTACCGGTGGCTGTTGAACTCCTTGTAGCGGTTGCACTGGCGGCTGCTGGACTCCTTGTACCGGTTGCTGTTGAGTTCCTTGTACAGGTGCCTGCCGAGACGCTTGCACCGGTGGCTCCTGAACAAATTGTACCTTTGGCTGCTGTTGCTGCACTGGTGGCTGCTGAGCTCCCTGTACCGGTGGCTGACGAGCTCCTTGTTGGGGCTGCTGTTGCTGCTGCACTGGTGGCTGCTGAACAAATTGTACCTTTGGTTGCTGAACAAATTGAACCTTGGGCTGCTGTTGCTGTACCGGTGGCTGCTGAGCTCCCTGTACCGGTGGCTGCTGAACTCGCTGCTGCTGCTGTTGCACTGGTGGCTGCTGCGGACCTGCTCCTTGTAGCGGTTGCTGCTGTTCCTGTCCACTTGGCATTCCCGGCTGTTGCTGTGCAAAGTCTGCTCCCGCAAACCCGACAAATCCCGGAGCCAACTTTTGCTCGTACGGATCCGGTGGCGCCACTTTTGGTTGTTCGTAGGCAGCTTGCGGTGTCCCCTGTTGTTGTACATCCGGTGGTGGAGCACCCTGCTTGGTTCTTCGTTCAAACTCGTTAAGGTCGCCATCTAGAATGTAATTTTCCTTGTCGCGTCGATCGTATCGTTCGAATTTGGAGCCGTCATCGGACTCGGGTTGTTGCTGCGACTGGAAGGGACTCAGCAGTGCTTCGTTGGCATTGCGTTCGACCATGTATCCATCGCGTTTTCGATCCCATCGTACAAACTTTTTGACGAGCTTTTCTTCTCCCGTCTTGACGACGACCCGAGCTGCCGCAGCCGCTTTCTGTTTGACCGCTTCGAGCTTTTGCAACGCATCCGTCTGTTTGGGAGGATCCTCAGGCATCTTGGGTGGTACCGCAGGGGTGGTAGCAGCACGAGTGGATGATACCGGCGTCTTAGTAGTAGTACTACCGGTTTTGGGGGGCGGTGGTGGTGGTGCGACTGGTTCCTTGGCCTTGTTGAACATTTTCTGGACAAAGGAATCTTGCTTCTTGTTGTTGTTGTTGACTGCTTGGTTTTGTCCCGTCGTTCTTGTCTGCTGAAGACTCGTACTCGTATTGTCCTGGGGCGGTACCGTACTCCATGGCGCTTCCGATGGCGGGTAGATGTTCTTGTTGCTTTTGCTGGACATCCAGTCATCGGGCTTTTGGTAGAACTTTGTACTCACGACGCGTTGTCGACTGACTCTTGTGTGGGGGAGAGTGAATGCGGACGCCGCCGGCGCCAGCAAGAGCGCGACGCTCCAGGCGGAGATTCTCATGGTCAAGTCTCACTATAATAAAAACAAGTATAGTAATACCAAGTGTTTGAATCTACTAGCTAGTAGCTTGTATTCGATTTGGCTTCTAAAAAGAGGAGAGAAGACTATCGAGAATGGTCGTCTTGCTGCAAAAAGAAGAATTGTGCGGGATGGTTGATGTTGTGCGTGAAGGCAATTGTTGTCAGTCAACGTCATTGGTTTGAATGACGTGGCACCCATCAACCAAATTGCCCTCGCCAGAACTTCCGTGTTGGCTTCCGCATTCCACGAGGGACAGCATTGGTAGCCTTGAATCACTTCTGGGAGGGACCGGACAACATGATGGGTAGCAGCTATTAGTAGAGCTACCGCAACTCCTGATGATGTTGATGAGCCACGTGGGAGATACGGTAGGTTCTCTGCATTGGTGGGAAGCCAGAGGCCTGCTTCCTTGAAGGCCTTGCTTGTGCCTCGTGAAGAACTTACTTTCATTTCCTTGCTGCAAGCTCGACATCTCAAGCAACATGTCTTTTGCAGATACCGGTAGGTTTGCATAGGTAGAAAGAAAGAGACTTTCAAAACTGGGGGTTTACTGAGCTCTAGCTAGCTGCCTGGCTCTGGTAGAGGCACCACTTGGTATTGGATGGAAAAGTGTGGCATTGAACGCTGCTGCCCTCGAAAGTCTGATCGGCTGACTGGATGGCGAGAATGGATGGGCTGGAACATACAATGCGCATGCTTCCAAAGCAGCTATAAGACTATGCATTGATGATACCGGAATTCAAACAAAAGGCTTCATTGGTTAGGTTGCTGACAATAATACTGTAAGGAGGACAAAACTCCACCAATGTCTAGATAGAATCTTGATATCGAGGGTTGGATGTAGCATTGGTGCAGTCCGTTTCACGGAGTTTACGTCACTGTCGGAAGTTTGTCTAAAGATTCGAGGTTCGTCCAAAAGATCCATCCACCTATTGTACATGCTACCAGCGCCAAAACAGGTCAACTTTACCTGTTGCAAAGAGTGAACACTTTAATTCTTTTATTGAATCTCTTAACTCTTCGTCTGAAAATGTGAGCTCTGAGTCGTGCTTAAAAGATCGTGATTCAGATGTCAAATCCAATCCCAACGTCTGTCCTCGACAGGTCCTTTTGTGTAGGCTCAGTACATTTTCTACACAACTTTACCTGTCTTATTTTACTTTACCTGTTTTGGCGCTGGTAGCATGTAGAAACGGGGGGCTCAGAGTTGGTCTATGCACAGGTGGATTATCTACGGTAGGGAGGTCGGCGGTCACACAAAAAGGAGCTTGCCCAAAGCAACGAGTTTGTAAAGGGGGTCTAGACTAGCTAGAGCAAGGTACGAAACCATACATACCTGCATGGCTCGATCCTTTCAGTCCAGTTTGAAGCCAACGCATATGGCTACTGAATCGGCATCTTCTTCGGCGACCGGAGGCCCAGTCTCGAAATTGACAATCTATTGGAGCACGAGAGAACAATTTCAATGCAGAATATTAGACCAAAATGAAGCAAGAAGCAGCAACACACAGGCTGTATTCTTCGCACCTTTTCCCAAAGGTTATTGGCATCTTCTTTGACGGCTGTTAGCTCAGTCTCAAGATTGGCAATCTATTGGATAATGGAGCGGCAATGTGAATGAGGCGAGACTGATGACAAAAGAAAGCACAAAACGGCCACAGAAATGGGCTGAATCCTCTCACCATTTTGTTCGAGGCCTTGCCATCTTCCTTGGCTGCCGCAAGCTGTGCCTCAAGAGTGTCATTCTGTTGGGAAAGGGAAAGCAGAGCACTAGAGATGAGGAAGGATGCGCAACATGACAGTCAATCAAAACACCTTGCCCACTCACCTTTTCCTTTGAAACCTTGCCCTTAGACCGCGCCTCTTCCAAGGCAACTCGGATCTGTCCAACCTTTAGAATCAAAGGTATTGAGCATCAAGATTTCAGGGATTATCCAAACGAGAACACAAATGACAAGCCAACCAACAAAGAGGCAGCATCCTCTCACCTCTTCTCCATTAGAGATCTTTGCATTTCCCTTGGCAGGTGCAAGCTGAGTCTCGAGTTTATCGATCTGAGTCTCGAGTTTATCGATCTGCAGGACGAAAGGGAAAGGAGACATCAGTTTGCCACCCCCAAAGCAGGGAGCCACATACAAAGGTACCTGCTGTAAAGGCGAGCCTACCTCTTCATTAAAAAGCTGCCAGTCAGAGTCAGCTTCAGCGGCGGCTAGACTATTCTTCAAGTGGGATATCATTTCATCTTGCCTAGCAATCTGTAGGTAAGGGAAGGGACAAGAGCTCAGGACACGAGAGTTGTTTGCAGGACCAGCAGGGAGAGTCACATAAGCGAAAGCTTACTTGTTTGTGAAAATTTTTGCATTTCTCTAGGTGCCTGATTCGTTTTCAACCAATTCATTCTTGGTTAATTGGAGGCCATCGTGGTCGCGCTGCAATTTCTTGTGTTCCGCTGTCAGATTCCTGTGGTCCCTTGAAAGCAGTCTGTTCCTTTTGGATAGCAAATCACTCTGCAAGATGTAAGAAAACAGCATGAGATCTGCAAAGGTCCCAAATGGCGAGAAGCAGACGAAGCCATGGTTGTGCTCACAGTATCTTTTTGCTGTTTTAGATCCGTCTCGAGCTCCCGAATCTTTTAGACCAAGGAAGAAGAAGAAGAAGTGAGCAATGGGGGCAACCAACCAAAGCAAAGCAATATTTGCTGAATCTCGCCTGCTTGTTTGCTCGTTCCAATTCATCCTTCAGCCTGGTAATCTGTAGATAATGAACAAGGGCAAAATGTGAGAACATCGCTACATACAACCATCAGCGGCGACAGCCAGAAACGGGAATGCGCACTTCTCTTCGCTTATTCGTAATATCCTTTGCTTGCCGATCTTCAATGCCCTGTAGGTGGTCATAGCGGCTTCGTAGTTGCTTGTGGCTGAGTTGCAGATCATTGTAGCCCCGTAGTGTCTTCAAGACACTCAAGTGGTGCTCTGTGACTTTCTCTTGGTGCTCCGCGACTTTCTCTTGGTGATCTATGAGTTCTTTGAGCCGAGTATCATTGTCTGAAGGATTGCTGCCATTGTTCACAACAATCGTGTTGTCTTCGTCAGAGCCACTGCGTCGTCGCTTCACGCCCGACGTCTTGTTGTTGTCATCACAAGATGATGTGCCGCCGCTCTGTCGACTGCTTCCCTCTCCACTGTCGTCTTGTTCTTTGCTATCAGAGGATGGGTTGCGGTCGCCCCCGTGTTGCCTCGACGGCTGCTCCCCAACTCCATTACCGCTGTCGCTGCCGATGGGAGCAGATGACTCGTTCATCTTGCGCCGCTTCATGTCATGATCTCCTTCTTCAGTGTCGGATGACGAGGAGCCAGAAGAGGACGAGGACGAGGAAGAAGAAGATGACGACGAGGATAGCGTGTCTTTTTCTCTTGGTTTGCTGCTGTCGTCTGACTCGTCAGAAGAAGACGAGGAACAAGATGAAGACGCGGATAGCGTGTCTGGATCTCTTGGTTTGCTGCTGTCACATGACTCGTCATCTAGGATAACAATTGTGTCTTCGAAGCCGACGGTGTCCGATGGTTTGTCGTTGGCTTTGGAAGACGAGGACGAATCAGAGTCGGGAATTTCGTCTTCTTCGTCAAGTTCTTCTTCGTCTTCGTCGAAATCTTGACGATAGGGGGATTCCATCTTGAAGAAACAAGGAATCAGCGGCCGTCGCATTCGCAGCTGGAATTCGCGAGGGACATCTTTGTCTTCGGTAATGCTCTTGTCGCCTTGTATTTCTTGTTCGTCGTTGCTGCTACCTCGTCGTTGTCGTTCTTCTCGGTGCACATTCCAAAGACGAGCGCCTTCCTTCTCAAGACTACCTTCGAAGAAGAGCTTCTCTAATGTGTCATCTGCTTGCAAGTCTGCCGCAGTGAGGTGCTCAAAGACGTTGTCGTGGGATGGATATATCCAGACTTTCGTTAAATACTGGATGGCAACAATTATCTGAGGCATGCAACATTTGATATCTTTGATGGTCAACACCAGGGTATACCACAAGGGTCGGGAAAGCAACAGTGAAAGACCACAGTATGCAGACTGAGGAAAATTTGGGCAGGCGTCAGAGAGCAGGCCCAGGCGCCGAGTCCAATCAGACACCTTGTCCTGGAGCCAGGAGGAAAAAGCTGCTGTGGAACCAATGAAGCCGCCAAGGTATCGATGACCAGAGGTGAACTTGAAACCAAGGTTCGAAAGGTGGAGACGAGCAGCTTTTGTGCTGTCATCTGCCGGGGGAACAACTAGGACACACTTCGCCGCTTGGGGAAAATAGCCAAAGGTGGCTCCTTCGACTTCCAAACGTTTGTAGAAGTGACGGATATCTCGGAAAGAGCCAACTGCAGCACCATCATCAGCATACCAAGGCTGAATGAGGTTGGGAAACTCGTTCTTCAGAGAGCGGATAAGGGGAAGTAGTCCCATGCCGTAGACATGCATGGAGAGAGGATCACCCTGGACCACACCGACACTGCTAGAAATGGTGGTGAATTTGCCTGCTGAATCCCAAACCACCAGTAACGAATGGTGACGGTATCCATTGAAAACAAATCGAGCACCACTGGGCCAGAGATTCTATTAATTAATTGTCAGCGAACATTAGCGAGTCACACGGGGCCCAATAATGGCTAGTAGTAGCATTACAGTATAGTCTAGGTGTTCATACCTTGTTGTTTGCTGCCCAAAGGCAACGCAGCTGCTCCTTTCCGTGGACTTGTGGAGTGATCGAGTCTTCATCTGAGTCGAGTCTTTCGTTGAAAAATCAAACATCGTGTCGCCAGTTTATTTTAAAAAAGATGGGAGCCGATGCTTATTTCAGACAAAGCAAACCAACCAACACTATGGTGTGGTTGTGGAACAGATGGATGGATGGATCTGTTGGATGGATGGATCTGTTGGGTGTGGTGAGTCGAGTCGCCGGCAGCAGCGGCAGGCATGCTTTTCCCTCCAAGGTTCTTGCTTGAGTATTTCAAACTGGGTTGTCCTTCTGGTCAATTATTGCGTGATTCGATTCGATTCTGGTTCGATTGGAATATTATCATTCTGGCTTGGGAAGCTCCTTCGACCTTGCTGTCGGTGCTGCCTTTCTGTCTCTCATCGTGCCATTGTTTTTTTTTGCTGCCCAGTATTGGGGTATCCTTCTTGACCCAGCCAACATCGCTCGTGTCTCTTCCAGAAGAGTTGCTATAGTTTGTATGTAGCTAGCTAGCTACCGGTATGTAGAGTTAGCACGAGCTACCAGAGATGTCGCCACTGTGCAACCTTCCGAAGCTATAGCAGCGTTCCTGCAAGTGCCGACAGCGGACTCTCTCATCGTTGTTCTGTCATGGCAGCGCCTTGTGACAATCTCTTTCTCTCTTTCACATTTTTCAGAAAAAGATATCGTACTGCCATCCACGAATCCGTTCACGAATCGAACGACATGACGTCACTGTCGGAATCAAGTCTAAAGACCAAAGATCCAAAAGATCCACTCGGAACCCTTCAGCGACAACACAACACAAAAAGGATCGTGTTTTCAGCGGCTACCATTTTGTTGGAATTACATGTACAGTCGCAGATCATTCTTAGCCACAGCATACCGTACCGGTAGCATCTCAGATCCACCATGTCCAACGACGAGACTACTAGTAAAGAGAGTAATAGTATGTCTGCGTCTCTTGCTTGTTTGGGTACCACCACCGTCAGTCTCCACACTAGCAGCAAGAAGAAGCAAGAAGGACTGTTGGCTGTCTTTCACGACAATGACACTCTCCGTCTGTCCTTGGCCACTAATACCGATGATGACAACAAGAGTGTGTTGGTCTATCACGGCTGTATCGCGATGAAAGACGTCAAGATGAAATTGGAATATCCGCAGAAACCCGACAAGCAAGCCAAAGCGTTTGCCACTCATCTCTTGCACGCTACCAGTAGCAATAGCAATAGCAATAACGGTCAGTCGGTCACGCCATCCTACTCTCTCTCCAGTGATGATGACAGTGACAATATCAAGTTGGTGATCAAGTATCAACATCGAGTGATCACTCAAACCAAAAAGAAGATGACTTCCCATAATAAGAGCAGTGACGACGATGATGATGATGAGGATGCCATGAGTGAAGAAGAAGAAGAAGTGGCCATGAAGAAAGCGTGGAGTGGAATTTTGTCGCGAGACACTTCCCCCACAGCACCACTCCACTTTTACAAGAGCCTGGGCCAAAGCATCAATCGTGGACAAACCACTCTGACGGCATCCCAATCTCAAATGGAACAATTGCAACGCGATCGCAACAGTTGGAAACACACCGCACAGCAACTACAAGGAAAATGGCAACACGAAAAAGATCAACTGCTGCGCAATTTTTGTACCCTTTACAATCCCACACGACAAGCGCTGGCAACGTGTCAAGAAGAAAATAAACAACTACAAGCACAAGCAGCCGAACAAGAATCGACTACCAACAACCGTAAAACCAAGAAAAAGACCAAAACGACAGCACAACCCGATACCGAGGAACTACAGGCGCCTCTTCCGGATGTGGGAGATGTCTATGATGACGCACTCGCCAAGGCATATGCCACCGGAAAACGAGTCGATATTCGAAATAACCACAATCAAAAGGTCAAAATGGAACCAACATTCAACAACAAAACCAAAAAGAGCAGCATTGATTGCTCCGCCTCGGATAGTGACGACACGGTGGTTGACATTCCACCCGCCAAAACAACAACAACCAACAAAAAGGTCGTCCGCACAAAAACAAAAACAAAAACAAACACCACCGCCAGTAATAAACAAAAGAAGAATGCCAAACACAGTGCCAATCGGTACGACGACAGTTCGGACGACGATCGCAAACCAACAAAGATAGCTGGCAAACCAAAACGAACATGGGACGACTCGGATGCGTCAGATTCGACAGGCAATAAAGGACGGGCCAATGAAAAACGCAACAAGAAACGAAAGAGTCCATTCTCGGATGACTCGAACGATTCGACTTAGGAACAATAGGTCCGTGGTGCAGGGTAGGTACCGTAGCTAACTGTCATGCTCCACGGCCACGACAGCGTACGTGTTTATTTGTGGGCTGCGGTCGTACGGTTGTAGTATTGCACGCGATAGAGGGATGGACAAGCAAGCATGGAGGAATGCCATGGACGCCCACAGGGGAAGCACAAGTAAGTGGCGGCGACCAAAAAAAGTTGGAGAGTCTAGCCAGACGGATAGATACACAGCCAAAATTTACAGTGTCATTTATGAAATTATCAAAACCTATTTTGTGTCAAATTCCTGACCATTTTGAACTCTGTTAAGTCTTTTTCAGCAACATTTGCTCGAGTACTATATAAATGTAGTATTAAAGATCACTGTTGGCGTTAAGACTTCCTATTAAGGGAAGACATAATAACAGGGTACCGGGAGAATGCTGACCTCAAATTTCGATTTTCGAAAAACTCAATTCCTTGTTTTCGCTAATTCCACGCAGTGGACCTTGTAGTGAGATGCAATCATTAGAGACTGTACCGGTAGCATGCACGCTGACATACGATTTCTCAGCCTTTCCAGTTCAGCGCGGGATACGATCATCGCTCTTTCAACCCGGTGTGGCAGCCGTCGGTATCTAGCTCACCGACCGACTGGGTCGGCACAGGGGTGGAGAACACGAGGACGAGGACCGCGATTTTGCCGGTCGCTCAGAGAAGGCTGAAAGGGAATGCCAAGTACGGAAACGGAATGCCAAGTGCGGTATGAGGAACCCTGAATGGACGCCACTCCTACGGTACCTAGCTAGCTAGCTAGTTGTAACCAGTGGATGTTCATACGTGAGCGGGAAGAGAACGGAGCAACTATAGCCACAGGGCGGCACTCCTCAAGTGGGCTTCTCCCGCGAGAGACATCGATACTATGATTATAATGTCTTGGTTACATTCAGGGGGGGTGGACCCGACAGCACTCAAGTCCACGCAGAAAGTATATGCGGAGTAGTAAGTTGCCATACCAACCCAACATCCACTTTCAAGTAATGGACAAAGAGATTCAAAGCTCAAGCTTGGACACCTCCAAATGAGCGGGCTGTCCACGCCAAACCAAGCTCCTTTGACTGTTTCCACGAGGGACCGTTGGAGGCATCATCGGGTTCAGCCCATACAGGAGCCAAGCCCGTGATCTCAAGAAGCTGGCCAATGCAAGGGCATTATCATGAAACATGTAGCCAGCTCCCAGTCTCTCAGCAATCACCAACCCGGACACCAATGCCTCTTCATGGAAATTGAAGTTTTAAAAAAGCACCCCCTGCAAACCAAAAGGATCCAAGACCTTGAATAGCATGAGAAGAACGACCGAGCTTGAAAAATTTGACATCATGACTGGGATGAAGCCATTTCTTGTCTTCCAATATTCGATCCGGAGATAAGCCAATCTCGTTTAAGGTTTGGTTATCAAATTGCTTTGTTGTTAGCTGGAAAGGGGGTATCAGGAGTTCATTGCAATGCATGGGATCCATGTTGTTGCTGTTGAAGATGTTGGTAAACCTTTGAAGATTCTGCTTGTCACCAGCATTCTTCATCAAAAAGTTGTAGCCCTCAAGATAATGGCATCCATCTGATGGTGTAGACAGGTTGGCAGTGAATTTGGCAATATAGTCAATGTCGGAGTGAACAATGGTGTGTTTGTAGCTCCCAAGAAGATCATTGCTTGGAAAGAGTTGCTCGTACAGAGATTGGCAGGGACTCCCTTGGGCCTTGTGAAGAGGAAACTCACAAACCATGGAGCTGGGATGATCCAGTATCTCCCGTACCTGAGGCCGCTGCAGTGTGAAGATGACATGATCGTATTCCCTCCAAACGCCATTTGAGTCTAGGAGTTTTGCAGCTGTGCCTCCCTCTGGCTGGTTGGCCATTTGGGCTGCCACAATTCTGTTGCCGGAATGCAGATGGATTCTGTCGTCAACTTCCAAGTGCTGACGCAGCTGCTCAACGTAGGCACTGGTTCCATTGGCAATATAATGAATGTTTGCTCGGGACGGTGACAGACATAGCCCAAAACGAGTCTCAAAGGTTGTCAAAAGGGCAATTGGCATGTCAAACAAGGCTACACCAGTGGCAACATATGTTTCTAAACACGGAGCCAAGTAGTCTCGGAGAAAGTCCTCTGAGTAAACTCCATGTTCTGGGTTTGTGAACTCTCCCAGAGTGGTTTCCATGAGCTGAACCTCATTCCAATGATCATAGGCATCCTTGAGATCTTTGGCCAAGAGATGGATCTCATCTCGATACTTGAGAATTCGGTTGCGGTCATTGAAGGGTGGGGGCAAGGAGGAACCCAAAACTTCCCCAGTGCTTGATACCCTGTCATTGGAGAAGCTGACTGGAGTCTCGTATTGAATAGTAAAGCTAGCTGCCATGGACTTGTACTCCACTCACAACCAGTCAAGCAGTTTCTCAAAGTTGTAGTACTCCAAGAAGGCAACAAAGGCATGCTCCACAAATGGAGGCTGAAACTTCTTTTCTGAGTAGTATGTAGAAGCAGCTCCTCCAAATTCAGGACGGGCCTCGAAGAGGTCTACTTCATATGAGGATGCACTGTTTTGTGATTGTTGAAAGGCCAGAGCAGCACCCATGCCAGCCACACCTCCTCCAACAATGGCTACTCTCAAAGTTTCTTGATGGGGCTCGGCTGCTGGTCGATCTGTAATGGGAAGCACATGTGGATTGGAAAATACAGCAGCAAGAAGAATACCGATGGCCAGGTTGGAAATATCTGGCAGGTACTTGACAGAAGCTTGTTGCCAAGTGGCATTCTTGGTTGGTTCTGAGTGGCCTGTGGTTGACTCTTGGGCAACAACGTCATCCTGTCTCTCAGAAGCATCAGCCATATCCATTTCACAACTTGAGGAGGTTGCACTCATAATCCCATCAGCTGCATCCATAGTATTCACCATATCAGAAGCTGCTCTGTCATACTGGGCCTCTTGCTCTCCTCCAGTGTTTTCTGTATCTTCTTGCTGCGATGGTACAATGTGATGTGAATCCCAACTGTATAGATTTCGATAGAGAGTACTGTCAGAAGCAGAAAGGGATAGTACACCCTCCAGATCCGTTCATAGATTGTCAGGGTTGTTGGCTGAAAGCAGAGCTCCCAGTAGTTGACTGTAGCTCGTGTCCAAATAGTGAGTCTGAGTAGAGTCTCACAGACAATTGCTATAGGAAATGCTGTGGTGGTGAGTGGTGACTGGAAGCGGTAGAGAATGAGGGCAATGGATACTGGGAATTCTAGAGCAATGTTGAGTGAGAAAATGATGGCTAGCTCCATCACTTCCCATCCAGGGTAGAAAGAATGGCTGATAAGATGAACATGAAATTGCCAATGCAGACAAGATGGTGAAGAATAACCAGAGGGCGTAGGCGGTATTCCTTTACAAAGAAGCAAAGCTTGAAGAGATATGCCAATAAGAGAGGAGTGACTGCCCAACCTGTGACCATGATAGCTTGGTTCAGATTGTTCAACCAACTTGCCGGTTGCTTCCAATCCGTGTCAGCCTCTCCTGTAATACGGGCAGAGTGGATCGTCCCATAAAAGGCAATAGATTTTGGCAACCACAATACTATTTCCACAATGGAAATGATTCCAACCACTGATTCCAACACCCAAAATATCACTTTGTATTGCTGGGATGGTGCCATGGCACCAAAGCTGTTCGGTAGCCAATGGCAGCCAACCTTGAGCAGAACTGTCCCTGCGACAGAATAGATCAGAAGCCAGCACAGTACAAAGAAATACAGCAAGTAGTAGATGTTGTTCCCAATGGTCGAAACCACTTCTGGGTGGGAGAGGATCAGAGAGTCGTAGTTGTTGTTATCCATGGTGCTGCCTCTGTCGTTTTGGTTTTGTGTTGCTCTTTGGTGTCTTGGACTGAGCTATGCCAAGAAAGCGCTGAACTCATCCCCACAAGTCGACACAAATCTTGTGTTGCTCTTTGGTGTCTTGGACTGAGCTATGCCAAGAAAGCGCTGAACTCATCCCCACAAGTCGACACAAATCAACGGATTCAGCGTGTCCACTGACCCTGTCCTTGCAGTCTTACCGTACAAGAAGAGGAAGAAAGATTAAGTCTTGTAAACTTGCAACTGTTTCCGGAATGTACTTAAGTGGATTGTTCACCGCATAATTAAGCCTGTGACCGTGCAGAAACCAGCTCGTTGGCTGGATTTGGTCCCATGTCCAATGGTTCTCACAACGATTGCCTTGCGTTCCTGCATCGTGCCCTCCCTTCAAGCTCTGTCCATCCTCATCTTAGCTCTCTCTAATCCATAGTAACTCCCGTTTAGCTTTCTTTTGGTGGGTGCATGCTTCATGACACGACACACAGTTCAGCGGAGGCAGGACGGGAGTGAGTGAGGGAGTGAGCGACGAGTCTATAGAGTCGAGTCAGTGAACTGAGTAGTTGCTCATGATCACCGCAACTTTTTGGATCAGGCTAGCTAGCGAGGAAGGTCCTTGATTGAATTCGAGAACACAGCTCACACCTTTGGACTTTGGATCACTTGTACCGTACCGGTAGTACGGTGATGGGGCGTCACGAGTCCTGCCTGTGGGTCAAAGTGTCAAAGCAAGTCTCTTTGATATTTGCCGTTTCGTTAGTTTACGGCTACACAGGAGCCTTTGCGCCACCGACACCAATGCTCTAGCAGTACCGGTACCGGGGTCAAATCGAGATAGAGGATCTCACCCCCAATTGTATTCTAGATAAGCTCCGAGCCCTGTAATTCGATGCCTGGAATGCCAAAAGTGTGTTTTGAGTGCATGGTGCTGAAGGTGCCTAGGTACAGCCCTCTCCAATTTTCTTGCGTGCCACCGACATGGTCAGGACTGGCCACTCTCGAGCAAATTCTGATTGGGTTTTAGGCTTTGGTTTCCTGGCTCCACCAATCATGATGAATGACAGTAATGCATCTCCCTACCGTACTGTTGAAAGGATGGAGTTCCTTGACACCAACTCATCCTCTCATCAAGTATGGCCGTACCAGCCCCAACAACACAAGGGCTCGATAGACTCGTTAAAACTTTCGGTGGACGTACATGATCTCTTTGCGGATTCCTTCGAGCTTACAGCCCCTTCATTGCGGAAGTGGCCGGGGCGTTCAAATCGTCCGAGGGAGACACAGGCCGGGAAAGGAACGCCAGCTTGACGGCTGCCCTCGCCCCTCTATCCTGAACAGATGCTGGCTGACCATGTGCTAAGCAGCCTTGCTGCTGTGACGAGAGCATCACACCTGTCACAATGGGAAAAGAGTTTAGACATTACAGGTCTTTTGGTTTGATGGGCTCAATGACATGCGGAGGGACATGATGGAAGCAGAGACCTGCCACGTCTTCCGGTTTTCATTCAGATTCCTGGCTCGTTGCTGGAACAGTCAATCATACCGTAGGCCATTGCAGCTATCCCAGTAGAGGTTGTCCACGGGCCGGAAATGGCAAAATCGACGGATAATGGTGCGACCTTGGTGGTAGCCGGTAGATGGCGCCCTCCTCATTCCTTGTTGACGCTGTCAGTTGCTGTTTCTATTGCTGATCGTAGCCGTGCTGGTGTGTAGGCCTGCAAAAGACAAAGCTGTGGACGGCATCAACTAGTCGACTAGCTAGTTTGGACGCACTGCGTTCAATACGAATAAATAAGCATCGCTATAGCATTACACTGCTGTTGCCACCGTCTAGATCAATGCCTTCTTTCGAAGTTTGGCTGTCTTGCTCTTCTTTTGGGTTTTGGGGGAGCTAAAGCGAGTGCGCATCCTATTAGATATCACCTTGATCTCAGTCTCTTCCAAATGCACAAAGGATCCAGCGCCGATCACTCGCCGCAAAACATACATCGGCATCATTCGCTTCCAACCACATTGTTTGGCCCTCTTCTTGATCTCCTCCAAGATCGTTTGCTCGGCTCTTTTCGCGTCCTCTGAAAGCTCTATTGTTGGTTTCTTGGCTGCTTTCTTTTTTGGTTATGATGTCTCGGTTACATGCAGCGGGGACCCATAGAACAGCACTCAAGTCCCCACGCTGAAAGTATATGTTGAGTAGTCCCCTGCCTTGACCTACCCACTTTCAATAACTGGATAAAGAGATTCAAAGCTCAAGCTTGGACACCTCCAAATGGGCGGGCTGTCCACGCCAAACAAAGCTCTTTTGACTGCTTCCACGAGGGACCGTTGGATGCATCATCGGGTTCAGCCCATACAGGAGCCAAGCCCGTGATCTCAAGAAGCTGGCCAATGCAAGGGCATTATCATGAAACATGTAGCCAGCTCCGAGTCTCTCAGCAATCACCAACCCAGACACCAATGCTTCTTCATGGAAATTGAAGTTAAAAGCACCCCCTGCAAACCAAAAGGATCCCAGACCTTGAATAACATGAGAAGCACGGCCAAGCTTGAAAAACCTGGCATCATGACTGGGATGAAGCCATTTCTTTTCTTCCAAGATTCGATCAGATGACAAACCTATTTCCTCAAGGAATTGGTAGTCGTCTTCTTCTGTTGTGAGCTGGAAAGGGGGCACGAGGTTTTCATTGCAATGCATGGGATCCATGTTGTTGCTGTTCAAGATAGTTGTGAAATGGTGATGATTTGGCTTGTCACCAACATTCTTCATCAAAAAGTTGTAGCCATCCACATAGTTGCATTGATCAGAAGGAAGGGAAAGGTTGGCTGCAAGATTGTTGATGAATCCTGTGTCAGAGTGAATAATGGTGCGGGTGTAGCTCCCAAGAAGATCATTGCTTGGAAAGAGTTGCTCGTACAGAGACTGACATGCACTCCGTTGGGCCTTGTGAAGAGGAAATTCACACACCACAGAGCTGGGATGATCCAAGATCTCCCGTATCTGAGGCCGCTGCAGTGTCAAGATGACATGGTCATATTCCCTCCAAATGCCATTTGAGTCTAGAAGTTTTGGAGCTGTGCCCCCCTCTGGCTGGTTGGCCATTTGGGCTGCCACAATTCCATTGCCGGAATGCAGATGGATTCTGTCGTCAACTTCCAAGTGCTGACGCAGTCTCTCGACATAGGCACTGGTTCCATTGGCAATATAATGAATCTTGGCCCGGGACGGCGAGAGGCATAGCCCAAAACGAGTCTCAAAGGTTGTCAAAAGGGCAATTGGCATGTCAAACAAGGTAGCACCAGTGGCAACATAGGCTTCCAAACATGGAGTCAAATAATCTCGGAGAAAGTCCTCGGAGTAAACTCCATGATCTGGGTTTGTAAACTCTCCCAGTGTGGTTTCCATGAGCTGAGCCTCATTCCAATGATCATAGGCATCTTTGAGAGCTTTGGCCAAGACATGGATCTCATCTTGATACTTGTGAATTCGGTTGCGGTCATTGAATGTTGGGGGCAAGGAAGATCCCAAAATGTCTCCAGTGCTTGATACCCTGTCATTGGAGAAGCTGACTGGAGTCTCGTATTGAATAGTAAAGCTAGCTGCCATGGACTTGTACTCCACTCACAACCAGTCAAGCAGTTTCTCAAAGTTGTAGTACTCCAAAAAGGCAACAAAGGCATGCTCCACAAATGGAGGCTGAAACTTCTTTTCTGAGTAGTATGCAGAAGCAGCTCCTCCAAATTCACGACGGGCCTCAAACAGGTCTACTTCATATGAGGATGCACTGTTTTGTGATTGTTGAAAGGCCAGAGCAGCACCCATGCCAGCCACACCTCCTCCAACAATGGCTACTCTCAAAGATTCTTGATGGGGTTCAGCTGCTGGTCGATCTGCAATGGGAAGCACATATGGATTGGAGAAGACAGCAATGAGAAAAATGCTGATGATCAGGTTGGAAAAGTCTGGCAGGTGCTTGACAAAAGTTCGTCTCCAAGTGACTTTCTTGGTTGGTTCTGCATGGCTTGTGGTTGACTCTTGGGCAACAGCATCATTCTGTCTTTCAGAAGCGTCAGCAGCGTCCATTGTTGCTATTTTTGATGCACCAGAAGGTGTTTCATGGATCTCATGATCCTCTTTAAAAATAGGGGGTGCCAATATTTCCTCTTTGGTTTCCTGCCACTGTCTCTTGCTGCGATGGTACAATGCAAGATGAACGCCCACTGTGTGAATTTCAATGGACAATATTATCAGTAGCAGAAAGGGATAGTACACCCTCCAGATCCGTTCATAGAGTGTCAGGGTTGTTTGTTGAAAGCATAAGTCCCAGTATTTGACCGTTGCTCGTGTCCAAACAAGAACTCTGAGTACAGTCTCATAGACAATAGCAACTTGGATTGCCTTGGCAGAGAATGGCGATTGGAAGCGGTAGAGAATGAGGGCTGCACAAATAGGGAACTCCAGAGAAATGTTGAGTGAAAACATAATGGCTAGCTCCATCCACTTCCCATCCAGGGTAGAAAGAATGGCCGAGAAGATGAACATGAAATTGCCTATGCAGACAAGGTGGTGAAGAATAACCAGAGGGCGTAGGCGGTATTCCTTGACAATGAAGCAAAGCTTGAAGAGATATGCCAATAAGAGGGGAGTGACTGCCCAAGATGTGACCTTGATAGCTTGGTTTAGATTGTGCAACCAACTTGCTGGTTGCTTCCAATCCATGTCAGCCTCTCCTGTAATGCGGGCAGAGTGAATAGTGCCATGAAAGGCAATAGATTTAGGCAACCACAACACTATTTCCACAATGGAAATGATTCCCACCACTGATTCCAGCACCCAGAATATCACCTTGTATTGCTGGGAAGGTGTCATGACACCAAAGCTGTTTGGTAGCCATTGGCGGCCAACCTGGAGCAGAACTGTCCCTGCAACTGAATAGATCAGTAACCAGCACAGTACAAAGAAATACAGCAAGTAGTAGATGTTGTTCCCAATGGTCGAAACCACTTCTGGGTGGGAAAGGATCAGAGAGTCATAGTTGTTGTTATCCATCATGTTGCTGTTTTGATTGTTGGAAGAGAGGCGTTACTATGGGTTAGAGGGGACTATGGAGAGGATGGGTTGCAGAGGAGGAGGGCAGAATGTTTTGGTGTGATGATATGCTATGTTGCTTGTGCCTGCGTTTTTGTTGTTGATCTTCTCTTCGTACTGGAAAATTACGAGGAGGAGGGATTGTGTGTTTGGTCTCGACTCGTGTGTGTTTGGTCTCGACTCGTCTCGGCTCGAAGCGAAGGCTTTACTAAAACAAAACAGTCACACCCAAATCTTCCCCCTTTTCACACGCGATCATAGTGCTATACACCCCCATTGAAATGGGGGTAGGTCATTCAACAGCCGCGACTGGGCGTCACGTCCTTCAACAATAGCTTCCCCCAAAGTGCAATGTAAGAAAACCTGGCACACCCCAAATATTCCCCCTTTCGATGAACGAACATATGCCCGGACTCCCCCAATACTGAGGGGTAGGTCATCCATGAAAGGCAAAGGGCGTCACCAACGCTGGGAAGTTCAGTGATGGGGCATCACGAGTGCTATCTCTTGGAGTAAGTTTCTTTGCCATTTGCCGTTTGGTTAGTTCACAGTGTCACAGCCCTTTTGGAGCAATGCTTTACCGACACCAATGCTCCAGCAGGGCTGGGGTCCGATCGAGCTAGAGGAATCTCAGCCCCACCAATAGTATTCTCGGTAAGCTCCGAGTCTTCTAGTATCCTTCGGATCCCATACTTCGTCCTGTTTGCTTAGCATTTGGTTGGTGAATCTTCTGCTTTTGGCTCCAAATTTTCTTGCATGCCACATGGTCCATGCTGAGGACTGGCCACTCGTAGTAATCTCTCGAGCAAACGCTGCCTGGGTTATACGGGAGGTTTTCCTTCTTCCCTGGTTCCACCAATCATCATGATGACAGCAATGCGTCGGCCCGGCGTTGAAAGGATGAGATTCCTTGACGCCAACTCATGGGCCCATCGGCCACTCTAGCCACAGCTGTCGCTGCTGTCAAGTATGGTCGTACCAGCCCCAACAACATAAGGGCTCGATAGATTCAAAGCCCGAGCAGCCAATTGCCATCTTGAAGGACCCAAGTATTCGATTGTCATTTGGACCTTCTATTAAAGCAAGTCATCAAAGCTATACCTGAATAGAACGAATGTCGCAATCTTCAGTCTCTAGTAGTAACTCTTTAGGATGCCATGCAGCGACCACACGAAGCACGAAAAGAGGACCTGGCCTGTTCTGAAACTACCTAGTTCGTTGTTCGTTCGCTGTCTACCGTATGTAGTTTTTCTATTTGCCAATGGCTGTACCAGCACCACCACTCACTTGATTGTTGGCTGCCAAGTTGTCCGACACCAACTCCCGAGCACTCTGGGGGGACAGTGCCACGCCCGTAATGAAATCATCGCTTTGTCGTTTCATATCCTCGCACAGTTTGTCCATGGAAGATGCCGAAATCAAGTGGCATTTTCGATCCACGTGCCACGTCAATGGAGTAAATTGGGAACAAACGGTATTGTCGAGTCCCCCTCCGAGGGTATAGGATCCCGTGTACATGGCCACATCGGTGCCACGGTCCGAATATTCGTCCACAATCATGCCCCGCATCAAATCGTGATAGTAGTACGAGTCGTCATTGACGACTGTAAAGACTTGTGCTTGTACTCCTAACTCCGCCGCGGTATCCACCAAGACGCTATCGCGACAAAAGACACCATCCAAGAACGGATGCTGATATTGCCAAATGGTCCCACAGGCACCGGCCGCGGAATGGGGCCATTGGATCTCATAGGTTTGACCCACCGTCATGCCGTCACAGTGTTGCCAGTCGAATTCCGTGGTAAACTTAGGATCGGAAGCATCGTAATGTTGACATTGGTACCCTTGTCGTACGTCGTCGCTGCTGGCGTCCTCCATTGGACCCGTTCCTGTGCGTGGAGTGTTTGCAAAAAGTGAGAATGGGCATGAGGCAGGCGAGTGCATCGATTGAGCATTTTTGCTAGTACAGAAAGACTACAAGTAAGATACAGTACTTACCAGTTTCATCGTATTCGCCGTACGAGTAATGCTCTGCTCCTAGTTTCCAATAGACACCGACCGGACAGCTTGCCACCTGCCAAAATGGAACCGTGACAGGAACAACACCAAGCGTGTCTCGTAGTCCCAAATATCCCTCCGTTACGTTCGCGGGTGCTTGCTCGCCCGTTTGGGGGATACCCTCCACGAAGCAGAGAGCGTTAGGAAGATCGGGGCGTTTGCCTTCACATGGATTGGGTCCCTGGTAACGGGTAGGCGACCAAGTCGGTGGGGCCTGCGATGGACCCGTGGTACTGCTCTCAGTGACAGTAGTGGGAGCTGTGGTACTGCTCTCAGTGGCAGTAGTGGGAGCTGTCGTCCCTTCGTTCTCGTCCAAGTTTCGATCTCGTCTCACCATGGGAGGAGTTTCATCACCACCATCTTTTTCTCCTGCCGTCAGCTCGAAAGTAGCAGAGGAAGGATTATTGGTCTGCGTCAACGCAACCACGACAACGCCAAGGACCAGCATGAGGAGTCCAGCAACAGCATTCCTTGGTCTTCTGTCCATGATGTCCTGTCTTTCAAAGATTACGCTTGCTTGGAACGGAGGAGTCGAGTCTTCGATTGGGAAGCTTCCGACTAATGCTTTCTTTCTCTCTGTTGAAGAAGATGTTGTGGAGTGATGAGTTTCGCAACCTTTTCTTGAGATTTGGAGGTCACGTCAGCCAAGTCAGAAAACCTCGACACGCCAGCGTTCGCAGTGGTACTGTATCCACGTTTTAATCAGCCAGCGTTGCTGCAGAAACAAGAACGGTCCAACAGACAGCAGCCGCACCACTTGGACTCCCTTGTCACACAGCACAAGAAGCAATCCTCGATCGCTTGCTAGCTCAGGTCTTGTAGTATTAGCCTCAACAAACAACAACGTCAATCAACAAAAGAGAAGAACAATCCTTGGTTTGAGTTGTTGCAATCGTTTTGAGAATGCGGTCCAGAAAGGGATTCGAATGATTCACAACGAACAAGGAGATCGAGAAGCCAAAAATGCGGGGTAAAAATTGGCGACTTTATGACCAAGGAATGGTATTCTAGGTGGAACGAGCCGGGTCAAGCTGTGTGGCTTCTCTGCGCCCATCATGCACCCACTCGAGAACGATTGCACTAGTTGGCTATCCTATCCCTTTGCTGAACAAATTATTGGGATGATTAGTGCACAAACGTGGGGTTCGACTTGGGGCAACACACCGAGTTTGCAGGGATCCATGAATGCAGGGATCACTACCTCATGCACCGGTACCTGGAGCGGTCCGTGTACTTCTCGACTGAGAAGGTGTCCTTGAGTCGGTCAACGATGCTTCTCCTACCAAAAGGGCGAAAGCGGTAGAAGGCAGTGATCTGATTGGCTAATCAAGCTAATACGTCAGGAAGTATGTCGCAAAAATTCAAATATACTTAACGTACCATTTATAGTTATTACGGATACAGTGTGCTATCAAGTTCGAAATTTCGTGTTTCTGTTTTCGCGAAAGAAGGATTCCATCGAGATTGACAATGACATCCTGCCGCTCACTCGACAGTCATTAACTCGGCCAAAAAGCCAGTAGCAGCAGCAGCAGCAGCAGCAGCAGAAGAGAGCATCATGGAGCCACCAACAGCAGCAGGAGCTACCACTCACAATGGAGGAATGGGCTGCCAAAGTCAACAGAGGAACTCCCAGCAGAAGAGAGCTTATGAACTCGCCAAATTGAACAACAACAGATCCAAGAGAGCCAGAGAAGAAGGACCCCAAACGACACTGGGAGGAGAGGTAGCAGAAGTCTTTGATCCACTCAAGAAGTGTGTCATCTGTAAGGCCAGAACATCTTGGTTTCAGAGTCCCAAAAAGATCACACACGTTCTCTGTATTAAGAATACAGTAACAAGAGAAGAGGAGATTTGAATGAGCTGACAATGGAAACCCTCAGAGAGAGCAGAAGACTCACAAGCACTTCAGTGCTCCTCTTCCATTGAATGAGAGAGGAAGCTGGAAGCATCAACAAAGAGAGAAGGGAAGCCTTCTTTGGTCCTAGAACAAACACCGCCAAACCAAATCAGAGCCGGCAACAAAAATCCACAACCAACACAACTCCAGTAGCTCTTTGTCGAAAGGTAACCACTCTTGTAAATGATGCTGCCTTTGTGGAACAGCACAAGACAAAAGGAGCACCACTGGCAATGCTAGCAATGGCACAAGTAGTGTCAGAATCCATTATTCGGCCTAAGAATCAGGAGCTATTCAGACAACACTTCCAAAGGACTCACCATGACAGTTCCCTCCACAGAGGAGCAATTCAAATCTCCACACTACCACTCCATTGTTGGCCAGAAACTACTCCTTGTGGACTGGAATCGATGTGGAATTACTGTACCTTGTCCCGATGGAAGATGCTCTGGCCAACTCAAGAATGCGAGGCACAACTGGTCCAAGAACAAAGACCTTGTTCCCTATCTTTGGCATCACTGGTCCTCCTTCTTGGTGTATAGTCATGTCCATGGTTTGTGGAAGCTGCAACAGAAGATTCGATGCCAACTCTGCAGAAGTGCTGGTCTCGATCCCAGATCATGCTTCATTGCTCTATCCAGTGGAGTCCAAGTATGCTTTACCTAACAAGGCTTGTCATTTGGAGCAACAGCAACAGAAGTATTCGTTCTATCATGTTAACCTATGGAAATGGAGACCTATGCAGCCGCCTCATCTACAATGCAATCACAGAGAGTATCTTAGAGCCATGATGTCTTACTTCTCATACTGGAAAGGAAGCGACACTGATCCTGATCCCTTTCTCAAAAGGATGGCACTTACATCAGACAGTTTCCTCCTCTTGGTGACACCATCCGTGACATCTATGATGTGCTTGTGCTTCAAAGGAATCCGTGGAGGATCAGTGAAACCAAAGGCACACAAGAGAGATCCAAAGTGTCAAGTGCAACAAAGAATCTTCTGTCAAGACCACATTCCAGGTGCAAGAACTAAGCAAGAGTCTTGGTGCTGCTGCTGTTTGGGATGCTGCTACTGAGACTGGAGAGATTGCTTCAGCAGTTCTCGTTCCTACCACCAAGACCATCCACTTCTCCCATGCAGCCATGCAGCTAGCAAGGAGGAGACACTTCAATCCAGCTGCCATGTATAGTGACACCTGGCCCACAAGGATGACTACTGGGAGTTACTCTTTCCAGGTATTGAGGGAAGACTTGGCCTGTTTCATTATGAGAAGAGGATCCTGTCAACTTTGAGGAAGGGTCACATTGATTACTTTCAAGCACTGACAGACCTCTTGGATTGCTTGTATGGTACTCACCAGATGATATGAGAAGGTCCTCCATGCATTGAAACATGGCCTCTTGTCCTCCAATGGCAAGCACTACTCCATGGCAGAGATCTCCGACATGCAAGCCTCCAAGGTCTTCAGAGCTCGGTACTCCAAGTATCTAAGGAAGAAGATGAGGCAAGAGACAATGAGGCAGAGGTTGCAGCAGTGGTTCTGCAGGTACAAAGGTGACAGCCAGTGATGGTTGCCAGCCAGGACAGGGGCGACTGGATCCAGCCAAGAACTATACCTTGTTACTTCTGATACCAACCCAGCAGTAGAGAACTGTGTTGACAAAGCCATTCACTGGCTGATCCCCTGGCACTGGAAGACATGTATGACACAATCCAACCTTCTCCAAACTCCAAGCACAATCTTCCAGAGTACCTATCAAGGAGAGGAGAGTCAAAGTTATAGAGGCTTTCCATGACAAGTTTGCCCACTTTGGAAATGGTGGAATGAGGAGGAGCCTTGCTGATGCACTCAACTTGCTGGAACTGCAAGATACAACCTCAAGATTCGCACAAGAGAGCCTTCCTGTCAAGAATCAGTGTGACAGAAAGGAAGTCAATTCCAGCTGGATGGGAGAAGGTGGTTCCATATTGGAACCATTCAGAGTTGGCTTACCTGAATGAGCTAGCAGTGGCTGTGGTCTCAATGAACCATTTCCTACTGCAGAGCCACTGCCACAGGATAATGGAGAGAGGTTCTTTCAGAGTTCATTGTTGCATTCAAACCACAGCGGCAGAAGTATGCTCCAAATGATTGTTGTCTTTGTGCGGCTTGCACTGGAGCACCACCGAGTCCACCAGCAATCGAGGCACCAAGTCCACCAGCAATCGATTCACGACTGCAACAGGTTACGCGCCCACCACCACCGCCACCACACCTCCACCACCTGCAGTGCAGAAATGTTTTGTTGGTTTATTTTTTTATACCAGCACAACAACAAATTCAAATGATCAACTTGCCATGCAATGCGGCAATTCCAACCCATACTGCCATATCCTTTCCAGCCACCTCCTCCACCGAACGGCTGCTGTCAGAGATACTGCCAGTGGTTGACCAACAGGAGAGGAAGACCACCTCATGATGCCAATTGCCAATCTAGATTGACTGGATACTCTGCATAAAATAAGATAAGAAGTATTAGATGTGACAAATTCGTTTCTAATGTAGCCATTAACTTACATTCAAGGTCCTTCTTGGTTGTTGTTGCTCTGTTTCCATCCTCCAAGAGTGTCAAAGTCTTCAAAGCAATCTTGAACAAATCTCTCACTCATGGAAACAAAGCTACCAAAGAAAGTTTTGTTGTTGTAGTCATACCAATGGATAAGATACTCATTCCAAGCTTGCACAATCTCTTGTCCTTCATTCGAGTAGAAGTCATACCTGCTCTCAGCCTCCATAAGCCTTTCCCTCACCAACCAATAGATGCACTCAATGAAGATGTCCTTCCTCTCACAGCCATCTGGTCCCAACAGCATTTCAGAAAGGGTGGAGACAACTTGCTTGTACCATTTTGGACCGACACTCTTCTGAAGTCCACCACAATCAAACATGTAATCCATGATGCATGTCATGTCAGGAGGAAGAGGCTTGCCTGCTCCTTGCAATATCAACTCCTCAAGAACCGTCACTTCCATGCTTGTTGTGGGCAAACAGAAGTTATCATCATCATCACTGTTGTACCCACAAATGACATACTTGCAGTGAATCCATGCCTTGTAACTCTCAGCTCATTGAATGGGTATCTGTTGACACTTTGCAGCCACTTGGAGAAGGCCGAAGAAGTAGTTGCGATCCTCATGGTCGAGTTGTTGTTCTTGTCGTCGTCGGTCGGTAGTGGTATCCGTAGAGGAAGACCGTCGGTAGAGGAAGGAGGAAGTAGTAGTAGTTGTTGTTGTTGTTGTTGCCAAGAGTCTTGCCCCTACCCACGTAGTCGCTGACTTCAAGACAAAATAGACCAGCAGTAGTGGTGGAGGAAGCGGCGTCGGTAGAGGAAGGATCGTCCGAAGGAGTGTCGGTTGAGGAAGGAGTCACGGTGTCGGTAGAGGAAGGAGTGTCTGTAGAGGAAGGACGACGTTCGAACGGGGGACGATAGAACGATTAGTAGCATGCCATGGTCGCCATTGTGGATAACAACAACAACAACAACAACAACAACAACAACAGCAGCAGCAGCATTCTTACCTTGTCGAGTACGACCTTATGGGAGCGAAGTTTGTGGTCGAGTTTTGTTGTTGTTTCGGTGGCTGATTTTCAAAATGGGAGGGTTTCGTTGGAGCGAAGGAAACAGAAAAGAGAGAAAGAGCGAGCCAGCGGTAGCCGTTGAATGGATTCAAAATACCGAAGCAAAGGATTGATGTGACGTATTTGCTGACATATTCATGTTCTTCGGACGTCTTACCCATGGGGGAAATGTCAGCTTTACAATGGAGACGGTTGCAGTCATTGCCATATCCCCTCACCCGCTAAGTAAAATGGTCTTTCGGATGTCTCAAACATGCCCTGCACACTCTCAATTCGGAATCTGGAACTCAACCGATAACCCTCTCCCTCTTCTTCTTCTTTTTCCCTCCCCCGCGCTCATGCCTAACCCCCCCATAAAGTCCTCCTGTAGGATAGGCTCAAGTCAGGCGTCGAGACCGCGAGCCACTGGAAGACGCCTCATATGTCATAGATGTGCATCGTTCTCGTTCCTTCAGTTGGAAGCGTGTGTTTCGTCAGCTTTGTAGGGCTCAACGGTGCGAGGATCCGAAATTGAGGCTGCAAGAAAACTGCAGAAGCGAAGGGATTGCTCATAACTTCTAAAGAACTTAGAGCCCCGAAGGTTGTCAAGAGCTGCCTGAAGGAAAGTGTTGGCTGACTTCACCATGCCCGTAAGGTCTGCAAGGAAAAAGTGGTTGACTGTCAACATCCGGTCGGCGGGGTATAGTTGTGGCTGTACAGCTTGGCTCTCAGCGAATGGATCGAATGATAATATCCTTCCTAACACTCGTGGCATCAATGTCGCCGTCGTTGGCACTACCCTTTTGGGCGACGACCTAGTCTTCTCGCAGGTAGATGCGTTTGACACCCACGCGTCAGAAAGCGAATCAGGGCGTTTTGTCTCCTGGGTGGATGGACTCCCAGAAGGAACATGCGTCGTGGTGGTAATCAAAGATGAAGCCTCGGGTCATTTGACCGATGAGGCGAGAAAGAGTCTTGAGCTTCTTGGGTCCAAACTTGTCCATTCACTTTTCTGGAGGCAATCGTTTTTGATGGTGGGTCGTAAGGGAGCCACCCCTGGATCCGTTCTGGAACGCCACAGTGAATTGTACTACATCGATGTTAAACATACATGGCACATGCTTGAACTGTCGCCCGAAGCTCCATTCTCTACTCGCACTGACGTGAAGACTGGATTTATCTCCGTTTTGTCAGACTGCAGTGTGGCTTCGATCTTGGTCGGTGGAAACTACGTCCGGCCGTGCTCCCGTGGCATCAACGTTTGTGAAGTTGACTTTGACGTCCGTGAAGACAGTCTTTGGAAAATGCGGGTGAAGGCGTTGCAGTCCTTCGATACTCTTTCCGATGCAGCGGCAGCTGATTCCTTTGCCGAGTATGTGGACAACCTCCCTGTCGGCCAAGACGTTATCTTGGTGTTGCAAGACGAAGCAGCGGATAGCCTAACGGAGCGGGCCAAGCTGGCCGCTGAACACCTAGGATCAAGTTGCGTTCGGTCGTTGGGCAGTCACGACTCTTGGATACTCGTGGGCTACAAAGGAGCCCATCGTGGTAGCGTCCCGGAGCTTCATTGCAATGCTCTTTAGAAATTCTTTTCGGACTGAAGTACGAGAAGGCAATGCTCCAACAACGAGGATTCTTTCAATATGAAAACTGGAGGCACGGTGGTCTCCCCACGAAGCAATGCAATCTTTCCACTTTCCAGAGTCTCTACTGTGAACCCAAACGACGCCGCATTTGTAGTGGTGGGAACCAAACCAGTGAGGTTCATGTGATTGGAGGGTTTGCCCTTGCTAAAGTTGAAATCGTCGGAGGCATGTAGCCACAATCCAAAACTGGCCGAAGACGTGGCCAGCAAAAGATAGATCAAACGGCAGGTTGCATCTCCCGTATCATGCTGAATTGTGTCACGGTCACTCAAGGATACCCTTTCCGGCGTGAGGTTGCTGCCAAACCCAGCTATAGCCTCTGTACTGGTAGCATTTCTTGCCTACGAATTTTAAAGGAAATGAAACAGGTAGCAAATACGCAGACAACCTTTCGCCTTCACCTTTTATACCGCTAGTGTTGCATGAACCTTGGCCGTGGGAGGACGGCACAACTGTGTCCATTTCGAGAATCCTGGTGCCGTGTTGTTCCAATGTATTATCGTCATGGTAAAGTCCTCCCTGCAGCTGTCGCAACTTTCTATGCCAGTAGCTGCTATGTCTAGCTACGGCAACAACCCAAAACTCCGGAGCTTCGTTCAGCATCAGGTTTAGACTTCAGGCTGGTACCGGTACCACCGCCCATACCACAAGCTAGCTAGGGCTTTAATTTGTGAGAAAGATCGAAAAAGGCTTTGGAATCACGAATATCTTGGCTGGAGTTGGAGGAGTGGTGGCTGCAACCGCAAGCCTCAAGTCTTAATTGGTGGGGTTCAGGCATGGGGTTGGATGAGTGAGGTCACTCACGTTTCATTTTAAAAGTCACACACCACAAACAAACCTACGTACTGCCAGGAGGAAGTCTTGTACAGCCCAAGCAGCTACGGACCCCAAATTTATTTGGTAAGGCGGTGGAAGGGTCATTACAGAGCTTTAACGACGGGTCTAAATATTTAATGTGCGAAGAGCAGAAGACAGAGAAAAGGTCATTGCAGAGAGTTAGCGACGAGTCGAACTATTTAATGTCCTAATGCTCTGACGTGGATGGGTCATTATGAGCTTTAAGCACAGGTCCAAATATTTAATGGCCGGTCTGCCCCACCTTTGAAATCACTTTCCTTTTTCCTAAGTATCTTTGGTATCCACGTCTCCAAGTGGACCAAAACACGACCCATTCAAGTTATGAAGCCCTTCATAGTAAGATACTTAAATACTGTTTCCTCCGCGCAACCCAGAGACTCCACTCCGTCCATGATGACAAAGCACAGCCACGGTTTTCCCGTACTAGCTAGTATGATATGATAGAGGACTGGTTCTGGTTTTCGAATCAATCAGATAGACTACTTTTGCAGTGAGAGAGCTACTTAATAAATCATACCCATGAAATTAATTATACGTTTCCCGAAAAAGGAGAGAGTATTGCTATTGGAGTCACTGCCCACTGAGCGAGAGGTGCTAATAATGGTACGTACGTGCGCACCGGTAGCAACAGCTGCCTTACAAGCTCAGTGAGCTTCATTTTTCGTCGATACCATGCTGTACAAGCAGTAACTTTAAAAAAATCCTTACAAGGTCGCAGAATCCCGGTAAAGCTGGAGACCTCTCAGTGGATCATAACAGCAAGTGTCCTTCTACCAAGGGTTAAAAATGGATATACTGTAGTATCTTATCCAAAAGGTAAGCGCTTTTCACACCCCAGTGAACCGTTTTTTCATTGGCGACTGAAAGAGCCACTGAAATGTGTTATGGTTCTCATCTCCATGATGACATATCTTTCATCAAAGAAGGACGAAGAAATCTGACCATGATGACGATGTTGAGCATGAAGCTGCCGGTTTCTCTGCTATCCATCCTCCTCTTGGTGCCGCATGGAGCTGCTTCCACCACCAGCGGCATTCGAGGAAGGAGCAGGGAGCTTTCCCAAGAATTATTTCTCTCGTACGAACCAGTTACCACTGTTACCGATCAAGTAAGTAGTCATGCATGCGGTGTCAGATGGTGGGTATATATCTGTACGTGGCTCACTATCTGCATGTACGTATGTGTACGTGTAGGCCGCCATTGATCTCGATCAAGCCGCATTGGAACGCCAGCTGGCACTTGGCACGGATGGTGGCCGACAAGCCGCGTTGCGCATTTACAGCCAAGGTGCCTTTTCGGGTTCTTATGCGGAAATCGCACTCAACTCCCCTCTGCAGGTGGATGTGAGCCAAGGTGTGACGGTCGTGGGTCAAACGGCGGATGGAGTGGAAGTGCGCCTTCAGACCAGCAGTACGCATAAAGCGGGAGACAGCATCGTCCTGCTTACCTACCAGGCATCCCCCGTCCAGGCTGATTGGACCGCTTGTCATGTCGGAGGCAATCCAGATCCCAATACGATGGGGTGTAAGTTATCAATCATGCACTGCAATGGCCTCGCTGTTGTCGTCGTGGCGATGCCTTCTGATCAAGTTCTCTCTACTTTTTGTTATTCTATTCAGGCCTGGCTCCGCTTGGTGCGGTGGAAATTGGGGAGCTTGGACAGATGGACTACACTTACGACCCTCTTGCCAGCAATTATAATTTCCGAACTCTACAGGGCTTTAGCACCCAAGCTGAAGAAACAATGTACAATTGTCACCATTGTCCGCTCGAGACGTACCTCAAGTTCTTCAAGTATTATGGAGTCTTTGATTATGCCAACCAATGGGTACTTGCGGCGTTCAATGGAGGTCTACCAACTTTGCCCAAGGCAACGCTGACTTTCGCGATTATGGAATGAAGGAACTATTGGTGAGTTAGTCTTGTTGCTGTTTTTGGTTGATTATCTTAGTGGAATCCTTCTCATTTTCATTCTATGCTGTCGTCGTTGATCACTCACAGAGGCAATCAAGAAGGGAACAGCCTACATGAATGTTTGGATGCAAGTGATCCGGGAAATGGAGTCGGCTGTGGCGGATTGTGAAAATGACTGTCAGACAGCAGCCTGCAATGATGATCAGGTCCATGCTTGGGACGCGGCAGTGGCATACTACACGGGCTCGGTACCCAAAACGACTGGCGATGGTGGTCATTTGCTGTATACTCTGGCACAGAAACGCTGCCAGAACTATGGAACTTGTGTGGCGTCCGGGGCCAACGAAGGCATGGCACACGTCAACGAGGGTGTCTTTTTCAACTTTCGACAGGGCAAACAGAATCTGCTCCTTGGAAACTGCGCAGAGGCAAGGGTCAATGTGGAGCGAATCACACAACTCATGACAATTCCCCTCATTCAAGGAACCATTCGATATGCCTATACGCGAGATATTCAGTTCGATACGCGGGAAAAGGCCGAAGCAGAGGGAGCTGTCTTTGCTGCAGCTGTGCTGCCTCTGGTGCACGCTTGCAGCGCTGAAGATGCCGCAATCATTTACAACAATATGCGTGTTGGCAGTGGAGATGTCGGCGTTGGTGGGGTCAGCTTTGATGTTGTCAAAAGTGCTTTTGAACGAAACTACGCCTGTTTGGGAGTTACCTGCGCGGATGTTGGTGGGTTGGTGGACTCGGTGACAGATGGGTACCTTCGAGGAGCGGAGCCATGCATCGACAACATTGAAGATGAAATCGTGCTGGTGGAAGACTTTGAGCTTGACGACGACTGCATGGGCAACTCGACATCTCTGGGCAACATGACAATGTGCAACATGACACTTACGGACGACGACGACAACAGCACTCTCACCGAAGATATTGGCATCAGCGCCAGTCGTTCCATACTCCCTTAGAACGTGGGCTAAACATGAATTCCTTGAACAAAGCCTATAGGACCCTCTTTCGTAATGTCGTAACCTGCCTTGCCATTGAGATCGTTCCTGCAGTTGTGGCTGGCTATAGTATCATGCATTTCTTTTCGATGTGGGTCGTGTTGTGGGCGGTCTGGTTGGTCCTCTTGGATGTGAGTTTTGTGAGAAGGCCCGACCTGAACTGGTCCGGTGCGGATGCCGTTGAATGGAAGTCGCATTAGAACGGCCCGTCCCTTCCTCTATCTACGGGCTCTCCAACTACCCACGCGTTCTTCAACTCAAATATCAAAATCAAACCCCAGCTAGGTACAGCAGGACACCAACGCCGAATGCAGCCACCATGCACAAAAGGTTCCCGTCGCTCCACAAACTCAATAGGCAGCCACTTCTTTAATCAAAACGGGAAAGCTACTACGGGTTAGAGGGGACTATGCGGAGGATGGGGGGCAGAGGAGGAGGGCAGGATGCAAGAACATGAGCCGAACAACTGAGGGGAACAGGGCTGCATCAAAAACAAAGAAGGAGAGGGTGTCAAGGATGGAGGACGTGGAGGATCAAAGGAATAAGACTAGTGGAAGAGTTCAAGAGCCCCTCCATCATCCCAACCCTTGGAGAGCTTGAGAGAGGGAACACGAGAGCCTCTCAAGCACATGGGTGCGGTGCGGTGAGGTGCCGTGCGGTGTGGTGCGCACAAAAACCGTCAATGAAAATTGTCTGCAAAATGCTAAAAGACTGTCCACTGATAATTCAGAAGTAACACATTACCATCCTGAAAGTGTTTGGGAGAAGTGTTCAGGAGAAGTCTTTGGGTGCAGTGTTCCAGAGAAGTGTTTCCAAATTTGCAGAGGATGCCATACTCAGCTTGCCTTTTCATTCGATTGATCATTCGATTTGATTCCGACCCCCCTGATGTGTCTTTCATCATTCGACATCATCCTGCTCTGCCTGCCTGGCTTCTAAAGCCCCATCTATTTAGTATTTTGTTTCTATTCGACATCATTTCTGTCACCTGCATACAACCCCCCTCAAATTTAAATAGAAAAATAGAACAGACGAACGTCTGTCACGTGTGTACTAGTACACCGTCCATGGGTCTGTTTCCCCCTGTCTAGCTAGCTAGTAGTTACTACTATCTAGGGAAACAAAGATAGGTTAAGGAGCGAGGGGGGCTAAGCTATCAGGCGAAGCTGATCGACGCATCGTTTGCGTGCATGTCATGACACGTGGCAGCTCTTCGCAGCGATCGCGATGTCGCGACATCGCGACACAAAAACTCAACCGCATGGAGGCAATCACAGCAGAGTAAGCTCTCAAGATCAGTTTTTATAAGCTGCGGAATAATACTGCTACCTGGGAGTATCTCCTGGGCCTCTTCGGACATTAAGAATTGTCGTGCTACTGCATCGTAGACGGTATCACAAGTTGTTGCTACTAAGAAACGCATAAGATCACTCCTCCTTTGCGAGTCAATTGTCTCCTTCATTAACCTCGTACAAGCTTTGACCCACCAGAATTCTAAGGCTCCCTCCAACACTGAACATTCACACCACAAGAGGACTGCACTGAACCGATTTGGCAGCAACTACGAGCTACTACCAACAGCTGTTGGGTCCAGTCCATCATCACCACGAATGACTATACTCTATCAATAATGACCATTCCAAAGAAATGTGAAAATGAGGCCAAAGAGGAGGGAATGACATCGATAACCACAACGAACCAAGGAAATTTTCTTCTACATGTGGAAGACGAAGTGGATGTCGATTCTGTGATCTTTTCGGACCGAGGATCTCCCTGGAAAACAACACATGATGCTACGTCCCAAGTTTCGCCCTCTACCTTTGGCACTGGGGTATCTAGCATCATGGAATCTCTATCTCCCAAAGATCTGGCAGCATTGGCAAGCCTCCTTAAGCCACTCTTGGCAAGTCAGAATAATGAAAGAAAGCACAAAGCAAAGGGTGGTGATTTGGAAGAATGTGCATTACCTCCATTGCGGACACACGGGGAGACATTTTTCAACGAAGATGAGAACGAAGACAAGAATGAAGAAGAGGCAGACAAGGCAAAATGGCATGCTAGCTTTGGTGAGAGTATCTATTCTCTCTTCTATTTGTGCAGTGTCAATAGTTGGGCCTTTTGGTATGCAGCATTCGTTTATGCCCTTCAAGTGAGTGACAGGCTGAAAACCATACAGTAAATGCCAACGGAGACGAAAAGCTTTTCCTCAACTGCGTGTATCATCATCTCAATTCCTTGCTGTATTCCTCCTTTCCCTCCATTTTCACTGTGAAAGATCACAACCATTCTGCTGACAATGATTGATGTAGTCGACTGGGGTGGCAATGGGCTCATCTTGCCGTCTATGGTTGACTTGAGTGTCACGATTGCTCAAGGAGTCGCACTTTTCCAAGCTGTAGCTTTTCAGTCTGACCTCATTCAGGTTGTCATGAAGTGAGTTCTCATTTTCCGTGTATTCTTGCCATTTGGCTGTTGCGAAGCCCTCATCTGTATTTTGCAATGGTGCCATGCACAAACATAAATTTGCCTACAGATTCAAAGACGGCTTCCACCCAGAAGTACTGGAAACACATCCTGGAGCAACCTACTCCACATGGCTTGTCTCCTGCCTTGCTCAGCTATTTGCCGGGCTCCTTCTGCTAATAGTGACAATCTTCATTTTGGTCACGCAAGTTGATAGTGTCTTGGATATTATGCTCAACTTTGCTGCACTCGAGTTCATGGCAGACATCGATGATGTGGCGTTCACCCTTGCAAAGTCTGGTCTCATTGGTAGCAGCACCCAAAGGGCCGTATATGAAGTAGCCAACCTGAAAATCCCGAAACGAAAAACCACAAATTGAGGATTTCTACACCGTTCCTGGAAAACTGGGATTTCCTCATGATCCTCAGTCTATTGCTTGCTGGCTTGCTTGTCATTGTAGCCTTACGAAGCTCAGGGCAATATGTCTGCAACACTATCATTATGAATATGGGAGATGCATTTGTTTCCTCCCTTGGAACCTTCAATGGCATGTATGATTTAGATTTCTCTGGTGGCTTTCTGTTAGAGCGACGTGGCCGGTATGTGGAGAGACGCTCCATTGAAATTGATACACCGGGTAGGGGTGTTTTTGCGTACTGTGATGACATCAAGGCTTGGACTTTTCAAGTGGAGAGGAAAAATATTACTCAGGATAGAGATGCCTGCAGTTGGATTGCTAGATCTGCAGAAACAGCTACTTTTGATATCAAAGAGACAGCATCAATCCAGTGGTTTGTACGGGACAACACATTGCATGAAGTTGTTCATGAACCATTCAGCCTTTTCTGTTTTGATTGCACCAGTGATGAGGAAGGAAGCGATGATTGTGGAGGGAAAGGAATCTGCACTAATGCTGTCTGTGACTGTGAAGATGGCTTGTATGGGCTCAGATGTGAGTTTGTCAGCCCATGCCCTTGGATCACAATTGACGCTCGAACAGAAAAGTTTGCGACTACAAGAGACTGGTCAACTGAATATGAATTCATTGAATTGAGCAACGGTGAACTGGTGGAATTCTATCACAGGCCAGTCTACGTCCATGAATATGATGGTGGCGAATATGATGTTGTCATGTTCACAGGGGCGCGGTGGGCCTTGACCTCTTCTGAGTTCCTCTTACATGGTGGAAGAATACCAGACAGGAAGCTTTCCAATGGTCAAGAAGGCGTTGGTTCGGACATTGGAAACTTCTTCGAGCATTTCTTCCATGCGTACAATGGCTACTTTGGCAACTACACGGTTGCCTTTCTCAGTGATTACATGCAAGTGGGAACGCAGCTGGACTCAAATTCTCCTGTCAGTTTGTCTTGGTATAATGCGGTAGCAAAAGAGGCTACAGCTGAAAATAAGAACCAGGAAACCGGCAAATTGATTGATTCAGAGTTTCTCTGCCATGTTTGTCAGGATGATTCAAACCCGTACCTGTATGATGGAAAGTGCAACAATGGGACATGTGAATGCTCTCAAGACTCTTTCGGGGGGCGGTGTGAAATCCCTCCAGGTATGCATGTGCACATGCATGGACCATACAAGTGAGTGTTGCTCCGTGCATCCTCATCCGAGCTTTTGCTTTCTTTCCTGTAGTGAAAAATGGTCACTGTGACCCCTTTTTCAACACATCTGAGTTCAAAATGGACGGCGGCGACTGCTGTGAATCCACCTGCCAGAGCACACCTCAATACACTTGTGGTGCCGCAGAAGATGGTTATGTCAGCACGGGATACTACTACTGTAAGCAACCAAAGAATACGTGGGAAAGCAGTCTCTTGAATGGAGCTGCTGGCTCCTTCTCTGGTTTTGCAGTGGATCTTTCATTGACGTCGATGGTTGTGGTAGGGGACAGTGTGCAGATATATGACAAGGTTGGGCCATCCTGGATACTCCGAGATACTATCTTGGGGGACGTAATATCCGACAGTGTAGCCCTCTCTTCTGGACCCTTCAATAGTGGTCAGCAACCCAAGCTTCATAGCCCCCTTAACAATTGCTGCCCATGATTGGAACAAAACAATTCATATCTACAAGTGCAATCATGATGGCTGCACTCAAACTCAGGAGTTCCCATTGGTCAGTGACTTTGCTTTGTCAGATGATGGGACTGTTCTCGCAATGTCCCTATGGATATCATTTGAGGAGGCTCCCAAAGTGATTCAAGTCTATGAGGCCCAAGAGGGATTATTTGAGTTCCGCACAAATGTAACCATCACAAGAAATGGCACCCTGGCTGGTTTCTATTCCTTGTCGTTGAGCGAAGATGGCAGCAAACTGGCTGTGCAGTCATTATCTTTACTCTGAGTTTTTCTCTGAGTACATTGTTGTGATGGCCTGGGATGAGTTGAGTCGTGATTATGCTGCCGAGACTGAGTTCCGCTTTGAGTCTGATGTGTACACATTGTCCCCCTTGTCATTGGCATTGAACCAAGATGGCACTGTCCTTGCGTATGGCTTCCCTGAGTGTCAAGGCACCCAGCTTCACATTTTTACTTGCAATGATGCTGGCGTTTGGGTACCACGGAGGGCTCCACAGATGAGCACCACTGGCTGCGATGAGATTCAGTCAGGGTAGATGCACAAGGAGCTGGGAGTGGAGAGCTCTGCTTGGAGGTCTCACTCCTCTGGCCCAAGTGCCAGCCACAAAGCTGGCTGCCACTGTTATTCAATCTCCACAGCACTGATTGAACAACTTACTCTTTGCCCTGGCACAATCCACACAGGAAGGCTTCAACTGTGGGGAAACTAGTGCTACTGAGGCTGTATCTGGTCAACTATCCTTTCATTACTTCTTCTTCTTTAAACTATGCTAAAATCAACTGAACACAAAATCCTCGACAGCACTCAGCCATGCAGCTTTGGATCTCTTGTATCTCATTTGGCTGGTACTGGCAAGCTAACTTTCTATATTGGTCTTGGCTGAAGAACTGCATCATCCTTGGGTATATAGAGTTCCTCAGCTATTTCTGTATTGCCAGATGGCTGCACTGCTGACCCTACCGTTGGAGTATACAGATGTCACAGCGATTCTTCCACCTGGCTAAACCAGCACAGCTGCTCCGCACCACAATGGGAGTTCACGTGGATTTCCACTCATCGCTCCAACCATGTGATGTGTCCATGGTGGTGTCCAGGAGATCAGCTGTGTCTCCTTGCCAGAACAGAACTGCCTTCAGAATGGGCCATATCTGGGAGTAACCCCAGTGTTTCGTCAGGATGTCTGCGGGGTTGATCGCTCCCGGTAGATGATGAAACGAGATGGTCCCTGCGGCAATGGCTTCTCTGACGAAGTGGTAGGAGAGGGCGTGATGTCTCTTCTTGATGGGCGAATGGGGCTGGGTTGAACTTGTCACCACAGACCCATTGTCGCCAAACATGTATGTTGGCCCCTTTACCTCCACACCAAGGTACCTGAGTGTAACTCTGGCTGCAATGGCCTGTTGGGTGGCAACCCTAGCAGCAACGAACTCAGAGCCATATGTGGCTGATTCCACAGTGGCTTGCTTCTTGCAGTACCATTCGAATGGGGTCTGGTTCACATAGTGCAGTACACCAGTGACTGCCTTGTGCGACGGGATACAGCTTACAATTCGGCTTTACAGCTTTATAAATTGCGGGCCTATTCTAAAAAATAATCAATAACTGCTCACTTATTTGGAAATACAAACTTTACATCTCTTAGATCGTTAGATTAATCAATCCACAATGGTATTGTCGCATGGTAGCATGCGAGGTTATGAGATGTTACTCATTCTTATTCTTATATGTCTATCCCTTATGGTTGTCAATGGAATGAGCTATCCCTTGGTGCAGAGTCCTGAATTTCCTCTCATTATCTTCATCAGTAGTCCTTCCCCTTATTGCAACTTAATCTGTCGATTGGATCCATATGATCCCCTTGTCGATACCTTTGATTCGCTTGCAAGCAATCCCCTTTTTGTTGATTCGCTCGTAAGCAATCCACTTGTTCCCCTTGTTCTTTATCCTGTTGTCGATCGAAATCGCGATGAGGATCCTATTATCTTGACGACTCGGCTTGTGTGTCATGCATTGAGTCATGCTTCCGGAGCCACTTTACCCCCTATTATCTGTTCGAAATTCCTGAGCTTAAGTCTTTTGAGTCATGCTTCAGTTCCTCACTTTTTCATTAACTCGACGTAATCGAGAACAACAACAACAACGACACGTCGCTCGACAACAACCCCCTCGTGTTGGTGTTCGAGTGGCATTGGCCGTTCCTCCGGTTGCTGGCTTGCTGTTGCAGTCGGTCGTTTGAACTGGCTTGCAGTTGGTCGTTTGAAAGATAACAACGCGCTGTCGCTGTTAAATTTAAATTTGAATTTGCCAAACAATTCGAGGTGGGCCTCAACCTCGACGTCAGATCCAACTGCTCATAAATTCCATCTTCGATTGACTCGATTGACTGGATATCCACCGCTCTCCTCCTCCTGTTGCCATTGCTCTTGTTGCCATTGCCGCACTGTTGACCTTGTTGATTTTCACTGCCTCCTATTCCATCAGCTATTAATGGACCTTGACGACGCTTCCTTATCTTCAGCATCCTCTTCATCATCAATTCCTTCAACAGTACCAGCGCCATCCTTGTTCAGTCCACAGGGATTCAGACAAGCCTTCTTTGAATCTGATCCAATCATCCCAACATCTGATCCTTCAACCATGTCTGCAGCAGCACCCTTGACCACAGATCAGTTCCAGGAGCTCCTCCAGCACATTGGGATCCAAGGAAAAGACCAAGCTTACAGAAGTCCCTCGGCTTGGAGGTATCAACCACACTGGAGCCTGGACAGGATCTGGCTCAGATGGACTGGAAAAGGAACCTCAAAGCACCCTATGCCTCAGGGGTTTTCATGGAGACGACCATCTAAAACATCACTGGGAATGAAAAACTCTGCAGAAACGCCCTTTTTGAGTCCGCAGAAACACTTTTTTTCCTGAAGCAGGCTGGCGTGCACTCTGCAGAAGCCCTCGAACTCTGCAGTTCCGAAAGCCGGCATGGCTTTTTCTGCCGGGAGGTGTTTTTTTCTGCCGGGAGGTGTTTTTTTTCTGCCGGGAGGGTGTTTGTCTCTGGCAGATGATTTTTTTTCTGCCAAAAGCACCTGAAAACTGCACAGAATGGCTCGCAGAGTGGATTCATTGTTTGGCAGAAGGATTTTCTGGAGCAATTATCGTTTGCAGCTTGACAATTACTTAGAGATGGATACCAGGCAGGCGTGACGAAACTAGCAGCAAATAAATAGCCAGTCTCTTTTTGAAATCTCAAGGCTGCGATGACATCATTGACATTTAATGCCACGGCACACTTTGGACCTAAGCCCTAACGTCTCTCCTGCAAAACGAGAACCCCCATTAACTGTCTCATTAACCCAGACTCTAAAACGAGACCCCATTATGATGTCGAGGAATACATTAACCCACACTCTAAATCAAATCGAATTCGAACCTATTCGATTAAGATCGACTCAGTCCCACCAACACCGGCATATTTCAAAAGCACGAGTCACAGTGATGACGTGGCCCCTGTTGACTTCGAAGAACATCCTGTCAGGTTCAACTCCCACAAGGAACTGGGAATGAAATAACTGCCCAAGAGAGTCGTGCTTTCATTCACACATCTATAAAACCGTTGCAAAAAAAGAGCAGTTTAGGGGGGTTGGGGGATAAAATAGAGGATTCTACGGGAATTTTATTACTATTTGTGGAAAGAAATCGTAGGTTGGGTAATATTTAAGGGTCAATAGTGGGGTAAATACCTGGTTTTCTAGGGCTTTTGGGGTAGAATGGAGATGGCCCGGGGGATGGGAAAAACAGAGGGGCTTCATGTTCACAAATAAAAGAAGGTTTTTGAATATAATGACCTGGAAGAGCTCGAACGTGCTTTCGAATCCAAGGACGGCCACTTTTTTCGAAATGTCGCTTGCCTCCGGCTTCAAGGTCGGCCACAGTTTGTGTGTAATCAAAAAGGTCAGTCAACTGGGAACATGCAAATTTCCAAATCTCTTCACTAGTTGCATCACCCTCCTTGAAATGGTCTCTTTTCAAACCTACGAGAGATTTAATTACAGCGATGCTCCCCTACCTGATCATGCTTGCAACATCTCCTACCGCGCAATCTTTGGCTTTCTTGTTGGGACGCTTGCTGATCTCACTGAGTTTCTTGAATGTAATCCAAGGTAGTTTGAAGTTGAGGTCCTCTGTAGTGCTGACGTGCTGTGTAAGCTCACTGAGAGATTCAATGCCGACGTGAACATCATCATGTCCGTAGTAACCAAAAAGCTAAAAAACTGCTCTTTCAAACCTTACTCGTCTTCAATCTCTAAATCTGAGCCAACCGACAAATCCCCCTCCATCGACTCCTGCTGCGTCCTGGAATGAACCTGTAGCAAAGAACATAAGTGAGGGGA